TATTTGCCTGCATAGGAAAAGCAAGGACTCGAGCGGAGCTACACACACACAATATAATGCACTCAAAGTATTTACACCTGTACTGGTTTCATCTTTTTGTTGCAACAATTTTCTTTTCCGATTTAATGTATAACGACCACTAGTCTGATTAGATTGGATTGTCGCGCGTGGACGTGATTTCTTTCTTTTTTTAATCCAAATGGAATAATTCAAATAAACTCGCTTCTGCCTAGATTTTGTAAAAATTTCTCGAAAGAATTTGCTTTGTCTTGGAAAAATAAAATTGTTTCAATTCTGCCTCATGGTTTTTGGATAGCTTTTGTACTGCTTCAATATTATGTAAGAAACGTGTTGCTGCAACTCGTTCGCCATACTGCAAGACTCAATACTTTCAAAACAAAAACTATGAATGTTGTAAGATATTAATTTCCCGACATTACTTTGATGTTATAATGTTTACGTATCCTCGAAATATCGAGTTCAAAATATGCACTGATCGACGCTACGCAGACTTTATAATTTAATGCATTTCCGCCGTTTTCCCGAATTCAAAATTTATATAGATTTATTTTACTTACATATTTGTTTGTACAAAATTGTATGAAAAATTACACGCATTTTTTGCGCTACACGAATTTTCATATGAGACTTTTTCTCTCCCAAAGTTATTACGACATGATAAAGTTTATTGCAGTCTATCACTGCCATGTGTTGTTCCATTTTTCTCTCTTTCTCCTTCTTTTCTGTTGTCTTGCCGTTTATTTACTAGCTGCGCGCGATGTGGAACATCTGGCACAGGTGATTCGCATTGATCGCTCCTTAAAACGACTTTTATAGCGAGATATCAAGAATCGCCGAGTCGCTCTTATGAAAGATCCCGAAAATTGTGATACTCTCGCGGAGAAAAAAGAAAATCGCAAGGAGCAATTTATCCACTAATTGCGGTGCTTGGAGTTTTTGTTTATTTTTTGATAATCTATTGTGTCTGCAAGAGAGGACTTTCAATTAGTGGACAGATTTAGCTGAGATACAAATGAATTAATGTACTTGAACGAGCAAGAGAGAGACTTTGATAGATAAAGAGGGAGTGAGAGAGAAATAGAGTTCGCAAAGCGACGTGGCGCCATAAACATCATTATACTGCAGCCAGCCTCTATCATAAATACAAGCTCGCATCTGAGAATGTATATACGTATGATTCCTCTATATAAATCGTGGGCATGTAGATGCCTGTGTGTATATTACGCCTAGGAAAATATATGACCCATTCAGCGGATCAAAATGGACAAAATACCCTTATTACATAGTCCCTGCGATATATGTGTACAATACATTTATCACGCGCGAACGTGACAATCTGCGCCAGTACGAATAATGCAAGCTATATTTTCGCTCGGCTCGCAACAGATACAGCTATACAGTATCCACGGCGTTGAATAATACTCGTCGTCCTAGCTAATTCCCCGCGTGCGAATATTATATATTTTGAAATTTCCCCCCGCTGTCCTTCGAAACTCGTTCGAAATGACGTTTGACATTTAGATACGCGACGCGATGGACCTCTTCATTAATGACGCTCGGCTAGATCTGTTCATAGGAAGCTTCGTCATTTCAAACGAGTGACTGCGCTCAAAGAAATACTACAACGAGCTGCGTACGCGTTCGCTATCCCGACTTTTACGCAGTCTACTTGCGGATGACACTGGAAGCACGAGAGAGAGAGAGAAAGAGGGACCTTCGGAAAAACTATACGCTCTAGGCTACTCTTCGAGCCCGGCTCATTTTCGTAATGGAGCGCGTCGATTCAGCGAATCGAGAAAAAATCCTGCGACTCTATAGTATCCACAAGTTTCTTCGCTATTTTGACCCACCGCACGGTTATACTTGTAACGAAATGCAATCTATCATCCAACTCGTTAAATAAGTAACTTTCTTCGACCACCTCCTGCAATCACATTCATCTCGAGGTTTTGCCAAGCATCCAAACTTTACAAGATGATGCACAGCTCATAACTTGAACTAAATTCAATAAACAAGTTTTGGTTTATTATTTACGGCACGCATCCCATTAGTATAATATTCAGATGCGACGAGACGCGGATTTATCACGAACGTGATCGAAATTTCATAATGCAATTTTTCGATGCGACAACGCGACGCGTCGTGGAAAAGGCGCGAAATTATTATCGTTAGAATCGCCTGTGGGGATGCGAACTGAAAACGAAATAATTACTTTTCTGCCGGCGATTCCGATGATAATTTGCGCCTGCAACCTTTTATTCCACGAAGATTGACAAGTCGAGAAACGTGTCAAGCGTACACATTTCTCCCTCTCTCTCCCCTGCGAAATCAATGCCAATTAAGACTCGTATCTAAACGCCGCGTCGAACACCTGCTAAAAGTTGCTGCGTGCGCTGTGGATTTTCACGCGTGAGTCACATGAAAGGAAGATGAGAAAGGACAGGTTGGCTCACGAGGCAAGTGTGACATATATATACGTATACAAGTGGTGTACTACGCGCGCGTACTACGTACACATGCGCAACCATCAAATCTGTCGCTACGCGACATTGACACACACCGAGCGAGCCAGGACAATCTGTGTGTGTGCGCAGGATATGACTCGACGTATAGTGGAGCTGTGGCGCTTACGTTGAACGTCTATAACGCTGTGCCGTGCTGCGGTGGCTCTACAACCTCGTCCCTTTGACGACGATTGTCCGTCTTGTTAAAGATAAATTATAGCTTCGCGTAATGTCGTGCGGTCACGCGTCAACGATTGAAAAAAAGCTCGTCCGAGCTTTATCGCCCGATCGCGAGACTTTTATTCGAAAAATGCTTGACACGCGTAAAGTGTCACGGAGAATGGTCCAACGTGTCCTTGGACGATCTCGACCCCAAGTAGAGCTTCTTCGAAAGATTAAAGCCCACGATGTATTCGATTTATCCTGCGACTTAGTGCCGGATCTTTATTACAGAAAGTCATTGCGACACCTATAAGCATCGAGCCGGCTGGACGTTCCGTTGGACTGAAAGCGCCTGAGAGATCATTCGACGTACTTACAAATCTTGTAAAATCAATAGTACAGCAATCGCAATGAAGAACGAGTAAGATGTATGACTAAGCCGATGCTCTTCTGACAATTATGCGCTCGTTTGTCTATGTCTGCTGTTTTGCTACAATGGTTACACTTATCCCGGACGGAATATAATGTATAGGTGCAAACACATGTTTGCCTATTTTTCGAAACAGCTGTTATTTATGGCTGCATAGAATGCAGACTTTTTTTACTTCTTTTACGACGTCTGACAACGCGTGTATACGTACATTACGCCGGCGTGATACCGCCGCGCGAGAAAATTATGACGCGGATCTTTTCTATACATATTTTTTTTATCCTATTCATCTTTTGTACGTGTAGAAACTAGATTAAGATCGGAAGTATACTTCAAGCGACTGTAGTGCGATTCTTGCATCTTGACTCCATCAGAAAACTCTTTAAACTTTGTGATATTTTTTTTGTTAAAAAAAAAAAGGTTACGCCACTCGAGTAAACAAAGTTCAAAAGCTATGCGTTCTGTCTGACATTCCGTACTAAATGTTTTTCGACATTTTAAAATGAAAATAAAAAAATTATCCGTAAACTTTCGAAATTTTAAGTACATTTTTACAACAGTAAGCATTGTTGTATTTTCTTTCAAAAGTGCGAGACAGTTTCTTAGAATCACAATCAGTCAGATTTGCGAAGTTTTACAATTTAAAAAAAACGTTCAAACATCATTGTAATTAAAAATATTTTCATCGTACGCGTACACAGCCAGTTTCAGCATGTTGAACTAATTGGGACTCTCCTCTCAGTCGGCACACGCACCATGATGAGCCAGATAGAATATTTACGCATCACTCCAAGAAACACCAGAGTAAATTCTATGTGCGTATAGTCAAAACAAAATTTACTGCGACCGGGATGCTGTGTGTGATATGGAATTCCATGCATATACGTGACTTTACTTGGGCGGGAGCACAGTCGTCACTCTTTTGTTCGCGATCTCCGGTAACTTGATTACTTGACGCCAAGCTCAGCGCACCGCGTCTCCAAAAAAGCACGTAAAAGCATAAATTGAAAAATTGATTAGCCAATGCATATTTTTTTCCCGCAAGATAATTTGAAAAATTCTACTCTGCGTGTTTTATTTGTTCGCCCTAGTGAGCAAAAATTTATGTGGCAAATTTTCTATAAAATTGAATGGACGAAAAATTTCTTTCCACAATATCAGCTGCGACTTCATATAACTACATACTTAGTTGCTTTACAACAATACTTCAAAATTGTCAACATTATGGTTGAAGAAAATTTCAATTAAGCTCGTTTTCATGAAATGGTTCTTTCATCGAGTAAGTCTTTTACATTTAGCGTTTAATTTTGTTACGTCGAGCGGCAAAACTAACACGAGATTGACGAGAGAACTAACATTTTCGTTTAATCATGCCGAAACAAAATATGCCACGTAATAGAGGTTGATGTCCAGAGTAAAAATACGAATAAAGAGGGAGAAATATTATTCCTCGTGTGAATGAACTACCTCCCCATCGTGATAATCAGAAAAATTAAGTGCGAAATTCAGAAAAACCGACCCACGTCATTTTTAGAATCGTTCCTTTGATTAATCCATCATGGCGATTGTTAGACCAATTCGTGTCCTAATTCTACTAAAACATTTTATGTTTCAAAGACAATCCTAGTCGAAAAATGAACCACCTTTATAAAAATTTTCTTTTCTAATCTCACAGTTATAATTAAAAATTATACTAAAAAAAATGTAAATGATATCATTTTTCTAATGTACCTCGAGCTGCAATTATGTTTTTCTGCAAACGGGCATACATATTTTTCAAAATAATGCTTAGGGTTATTTTCTTTTTCATAAACCTATGAAAAAATTTTTTGTTCACACTTTACAGCTACATGTTATACTGCTTTCTCTTTTTATCTTTATAGACTGAACAATTCACCATCATGTGGCTACTATTCGCTCTGATTGTCGTTGGCAACACTGCTGTATTAGCTGGTTTAGCACGTGGAAATAAGAGAAAATCTCGCATGAATTTTTTTATTCAACAACTCGCTACTGCAGGTTTGTTTTACTGCTATACAAAATGATTTCATCAAGCTTTGCTTATAGTACGAACAATCAATTTCTAGAGCATTAGCAATGTTTTTATTTGTAAAACTTTATTTGGTACATTCAGTTAATAAACATTTAATTAACAATTGAGAATGAGATTATTTACGAACATGGAACTATTTTTTAGACAATATTTACAAGGTTGACACACTAATCTTAAGCACTACAAACTTGGCACAGAACTATGCCTTTCAAATTTTTCCATATTGAACAGTAAGTCTTGCTGAAATTTCCGCGCATTCAAAGTTGAAAAAATCCCTCGCTTTACATATCTTTTATTCTCAAAAAAGATGCTCCAGTTAAAAATAAATGGAGTTTATTCGCACGTTGTTATAACAAAAATAACATAACTCTTATAGCTTTGAAGAAAATTGAATCTCGTGAAAGAATTTTAAGGGTTTCTTTTGTTGTTAATAAAAAGTCAATATTCAAACTGCTTATTATAATGCTAAAAATATGTTGCATCCTATTGACATGAAACGAGTAAGCTGTAAATATTCTAACAACACCACCAAAACACTGCAAATTCCGAAAAATAAAAGTTATCTCTGTATCCTTACGTTTTGAGTCTTAAATACAAGTTTAACTGCTCATATTTCATATTTTAAATAATTACTTCAACCTTTCAAAAAATCTAAAACACAACACTTTTTTTAATTTCAAAAAAAAATCCAAAAAATTGAAAACATTTTTTCCATTGGGAATTATAATATCAATTATTCGGATATCAACCTTATTATAGTAGATAGTAAATGCATTTTAATTCGATACGAGTTATTGTCCTGTTTTTGACATCATGCTCTGCGCAAGTTACACACACACGCGCACACCCTTATGTACAGAAATATGTCGGAGGAAGCAATTTCACAGAATAAAAATGATCTGTTGACAAGAGTCGAATCATTTCAAATATAGGTATTCGCCGCACAAGTGAAATGTAATGATTTGAGTGCAAAGGGTGCTATTATAGCAGGTTACTGTTCTAAAGTGGTAATTCACGATAATGGAATAATAAATGATATAATCAAAATTTTACTTTATACTTTTTGATGAACTTTTAGTTGAAATTCAACTCAAAACTCGGTTCCCCGAAATGAATAAAGTTTTTTATAGTAATTAAAAATAATCTTCCAACGGAAATTTTTGTTGTAGCAGAGTATTTTCGATTTAACACTTAAAAAAATACAGCTTTTTTTAAGAGGATTTACAAAAATGAAGTCTATCACATTTTATTCTGTTTTCGAAAGAAATCAAATGTAACCTTTATGTTTTGCTATTGAAGTGAAGAAAGTAAAATAGAATTGATCTTCTAAAAACAGTACAGTCCGAGTTCCAAATATTGAATTGAAACTATTGCTCTGCAACTATGTGGCAAATAAGATCTTGTACATAAAAATTTTCTTTTCTAAAAAAAATTTCAAAATTTAATCTCTATCTTTACCTTTGATTAACTAATTCAGTAACAAATACCGGATATCTCTACCAAATATCTAAATTACACAAATAACTATTAACTTTAACGGCAAAATAACTACAGTAAAATTGTATAATTTCATTTGCGGCAATTCGATCAGTTAATTATCTCTGGAGGTAAACACATTTGTATAACGCCGCGAAGTCTCATCGCTTTAGCTTGTATGGGAGCACAATTTACACGTATAAATCGTGCTGCGTATAATGCGTTTTAACCATGCACACTGGATGTTATATACGATATAATTATAGCCAGCATGCGTATAAGAGCCTGAATAGCAATAATGATGGATGCGCGCGACGACGCCCGTTTGTATTACAGATTTACTGGTGGGTCTGATATCAGTGCTGACAGATATAGTGCAGCGCTCGACGGTGGCTTGGTACGCGGGCAACTTTGCCTGCAAGTTCATCCGATTTCTGCAGGTACTAGTCACCTATAGCTCGACTTATGTTCTCGTCGCGCTGTCGATCGACCGACACGATGCCATCACCAAACCCTTCAATTTTTCCAAGTGTTGTGAGTACCAATAAACCAAATTTTTGTTAAATTTTTATTTTCGACATCATACTCGAGTATTCGGTTCAAGAATCCTCGATATGACTGTAATACCATTCGTCATGCGAGATTGTGAAGATGCTCTGGGTGGCGAATCGGGGGTTTGTGCCATACAAGCCGAAGATGAATGGTTTTTTTACTCAAGTTGGGAGCATTAGTTTTCTTTTCATAAGGGCTTGAATATATTGAGTTTATTATACTTTCACAATGTAATCCAAAGAATTATTTGAAGAATTTTATCAAGTACAACATCAAGTACAACAACACGAGTGTTAAAATCAAGTCCTAAATCAATCGTTCAATAATGATTTAGATATCAAAACAAACGTTACTTCATTTCAAACTCGACATAACATAAAATGTTTGCTCATCATTAAAAACAAATAATATTATTTCATACTAACTTAATGCCATCGTCAGCAAGTCTACCGTAGCGTGTAACTCATGCAAACGATAATAAATCAAGTCAAAAGAAAATATCTGCTGCCGTTCGAAACGTGGACGCGAGCCCGTCATCTTCCTCTGGAAGTATATCAATTCAATCGTTAAAGAATTGATCTTGTCATTAGCAAGCCGTAATTTCGAGATTTCAATAATATTCGCAGAGTCGAGCACGTTACTTTTCATTCTATATATGTCTTCGCTCTCGCTTCACTCGGGGCGCGCTCGCGCGCAGATATTGTCACGAGCAAAATTCGGTATATACGTATACGCACCGGAGAGAGCTAGAGCTTGAAGCACTCACACTTTTCTTCAACAGCTTTCTTTTACGGACATGCTTATAAAATAGAGATTTTTCCGAGAGGACGTATATAAGAGCTTTTATTTCTTTTATCCTTTTTCTTTTTCGAAGCAGTAGCGCAAAACCGTATTCGTATCTGGAGACGTCGCAGCGGAATAATCCGACTGGATATCTTTACGTGTGCGTGTGCCCGAGTATACGACCCATTGTGTCGGTTCGCCAAAATTTCCTGCCGAAGATACTCCCATGATAGTCGCCCTATATAGTGCCATATATATATTCTTGTTTTTGCAATTCTTTTATGGTACATATCTTTATTAAGTTTTATTGTCTTATTTATGACTATCACTAACTTTTGGATCATAACGTATTTCGCACATAATTTCTCATTAAAATGCGCTCATAAGAATATCTCGTTCATTGCTAGAAATTGATTTACGAATTAAGTCTTAATAACGAACACTTCGGGGTTTTTCCAATTACTTTTTTGCAATGTTGTTCCAACTTCTCCTTTTGATAATTAGTATTTTTCAAGACCGCATTAATCCTTGACTCATAATTTATTTAAGGAGTAACAACACTACCATTTTCAAAAAGAAATTTTTTTTATGAAAATCTGTAGGATGATGCCCAAGTAGTTTTATAAAGGTAAAATAATTTCAACGTGCTTAATATTCAATTTAAGGGAAAAGCTCTTTACGTTTTATAAATGTAGATAAAAAAAATCGTCAAACGCGTTTATTTTTTAACCATATTTTTCAAAATTACAAGTAACAAATCTCAGGAAGTATTGAACGGATTAAGCTAAAATTTGTATGGAGTTACCCTTTATGTTTCAAATCTAAAGCAAAAATGAACATAGTAAAGTTAAAGCTTTTGACAGTATATTTCAAATGTATTTAAGGTAACGTAATCTTTTAGAGGCTGTTAGTTTAATTTCATAACTTGTCATTCAGTAAAGTTTAGAGAAAAGTTAAAACTAAAAAAGATAAAATTCAAATTATTAAATAGCACCATATAAAAAATGGTAGTTTCGTAAAGTAATATTTGTAACGGTATAATTACATAAGCCTCATATTTATTGTAACTTATTTATGCATTCATTTCAAATTTATGTCTTCACAACGTACAGGGTCCAGATCTCGGTGTTTGGTTGTCCTTGCCTGGGTTATCTCGACAATTTTTAGTTCACCTATACTTTTTCTTTACGAAGAGAAAGTAGTTCAGGTAAAAGCGAGCAAAAAAATGAAATAAGCCAACTCATCAAGGACTTTTCCAGTAATTCGATCAAATTTTGTTGCAGAACATAACGCAATGCTGGATCGATATGCCGTCGGACGACTGGTGGCGAGTCTACATGACTCTGGTGGCGCTCACCCTCTTTTTCTTACCGGCACTAATTATCAGCGCTTGCTACGCAATTATCGTAAAGACCATTTGGTCCTCGCAGACTGGTGCCTTGATGCGCTCCGACACCGAGCGCAACGCAGCTAGCGAATCCGGCCGCGGCATCATACCGAGAGCTAAAATTAAGACCATTAAAATGACTCTAGTCATTGTCTTGGGTTTGTACACTCTAACCATATCAATTTAACACTCTTTCTTAAAATGCTCCCGGCTATTCGAGTAATGATTTCATATCATGGAAATATTATGGATTGTGCTTATCCCTGAAAAAAATTTCGATGCGAGCTTTTATATTATTCCAACACTCGCCGGGCTTGCAAGCTTCCTTCGAGCGTGTGCAAATGAACTTTTTTTTCGAACAAAGAAATAGATCCTCGACTGACGAGGTGCACAACGAAAGAAAATGAGATCGACTTTGTATAAGTTTAGGTATAGAGTGTGGATGTGCTGACAATCGTCTCTCATTTTTGCCCAGAAAGATTTCATCTACAGCCGTGTTCTCGGGAAAGATTTAAATTTTACTGCATGCTCTACAATTACTTAAAGACTACTAGATCAAGCTTTGAAAAATATTTTTATGTCCTTTGATGCTGTAAATTCTCATTAAATATGTTAATTAAAAAAATTTAGACGGGATAGTTTTGAAAAACTCTTGAACGTTGAAGTACTGACACGATATTGATTACACATTTAGGTTATTTAATAAAGTATTAATATTTTTTTTTACTTTTTGAATTTACGTAATGGAAAAAATGTTATTGCTACGGAAAGTTCGAAAATTATGAATAAATATCGAATCGATTATAAATATTGTGGTAACGAAGATACCTAGGCTATGCTAAAAAAAATTGTCATTCTCGAACATATTTTTTGTGATTTCCATTAAATATTTCTATAAAAAGCTGAAAAATACATGTCTTAATTGTGTTGTTTTCGTAGCTTTTTAGAAAAATAGTAAGTGACAATCTTAGGAAATGAGTTTAAAAGTTTTTCTTCTGATGCAGCTTTGTTTTCTTCAAAAAAACTTTTGTTGGCAAATAAATGATGTAAATGAACCGAAAAGAAACAAAAAACCTATACCATTAAATTATTTTCCGAATACTGTATTGTTTTCAATTAAAATATGAGAAATAATAAATTTATATTTTCAGAAATTTTCACTTCTAAATGTGCAAATTCCAAATAGTGAATTCAAAAATAATTTGGAATGGTCGCGATAACATGTACATCGTATATTATGCTTTAGTGGTATGGTTAATTTTCGAAGATATTAAATTTGTACAGGATTTTAATATGATAAATGAGCACTTCCAAACAAAAGTAAAAATTCGAAATATTTGCTTATTAAATTATTTGGTGAATTTCTGCTTTAATTGAGATAATTTTATCTTAAGCATTAAATATCTCTATAGAAATTCAATTAACAATCAGCAGTGAAGAAGAGAATGGACATTAAAATAATCGACCTGTTTATAATACCTTTTCCCGACACGGAAACAAAAAAAAAACACAAACGGTGAATCGATTCGGTTTAGAATAGAAGAAAAAGTTTATTTTTACTCTGAGATTACGCGACAAAAAGATAAGCAAACACGTTAAGATTCTATAACACATAAACTTTTAAAACTTAATATGTTTCTAAAGGTTTATTGATTTGTGTGTAATTTGTAAATTGCAAAATGTTTTGTTTTTACGATTAAGAAACCATTCTATTTTTGTTTTTCTTGCAATCTATATGAACGCTTGCATTATTAATTACCAAAAGTTATCTTTATATTCAGAGAGCCAAGCCCAGCTACATGTTCTTTTTTTGGTCAATAAGCGAAAACAACAAAAAAATCTGAATTTTTCTGTAGAAATTTCGCCTAAGGGAAAAATATAATAAAATTTATAGGTTCATACGTGATAAGGACATGAAAGAGAACCTCGGTATCAACAATTTTCTTAAAATTATAGAGGATTATCTTTCCCAACATACGAAACCTATTATCATTTAACGAGTAAATTATACCTTAAATGTATTCAAACTTAAAATAAAAAAAAACGTGATTCTTTTATGGTAACACGACGAATTTCGAATTGTTGCGAAATGTTATGAATATAAAATGTAGCAATAAAAGAGAGGATTTTTTATTGTTGCAGTATTTATCCTTTGTTGGAGTCCATACATGTTTTTTGATCTGCTGCAAGTTTATGGATATATACCAAAAACGCAAACGGCTACAGCTATCGCTTCGTTGGTTCAAAGCTTAGCACATCTCAATTCTGCAGCTAATCCAATTATCTACTGTCTTTTCAGTTCCCCCTTTTGCCAGACAACTAGGTAAAGTTTTTTTAATTCATAGATTTTTTAAATTTTATAATCGAAGTTTCCATCCAATTAATTAATTAATTTTTTAATACAAAAACGATGAAATAATAGATTACACTTGAAAAAAGTTGTCACGAACAAAGCCTTTTTTTATCCATATCGAAATATTTTTGATAAATCTTTTTTTGTAAATAGCAAACATCTGGAATAAAAAATTTTTTTTCTTTTTTTCTTCAATTAATTAGATTCAGCTAACTTTAATGCAGTAGCCGTTAAGAGCAATCGACCATTCGTGCCATGATACAATTAATAACTAGGAATTATTTATATACTTTCGCTCTTATTAATTTATTCTATACATTGTTCGAGTATTATAGTTCTAACTATAAGTATTGTCATTTAATCATAAAGATATAGTCCCGCAAGTAAGTCTAAATTGTTTAAGCTTTCATTCGCAAGAAATAAGTTAGTTATATTCATTTTTAAAATAAAAGTTGCATTTGATTTATATATCTTAAAATCCGGTGATAGATATTCATATGCTAGGGCAAGAAAACTTACTTAAAGTCTTTTGATACTGTACTTTTTTGTTTGCTTGAAAGACAGCATCCTCCAACTTCGTAATAAATCTTTTATGCTACGTATATATATATCAAGCCACCCTCTGTTCCATTTCAAGAAAAAGGAAAGAGTAATGTTGACGCGACGTGTATACTTAAAATAATAATTTACTCATTGTTACTTGAAAATTTCGTGTAATTCACAGATGGGTACCATAATCATCAATTTTTCATGTATATATTTGGTTTAAAACGATGATTAATTTGAGATAAAAGCATACACATTATAAATTTTTCATAATTGTTTAAATAAGTAGCTTCGATCACATTTTATGTTAGATAACGTAAAAAATGAGGTATTTTTGTTTATATTTTAGTCTTTATTTTGTAATAAGAGTTATCCATACTTCTCCATTGAATATTGAAGTATACAAAATTTATCATTACAATCTTTAACATATTTTACAGAAACTGTAGATCCTCATCTTGGTTTCCGAAAGTGTTCCGGGTAAAAAGGCACCAGTCACAAAGTGTAAATAATATTAATGGTAATAGTACTCGGACAACAATTACAACATCGCTCACTGCGCATTCGTCCAAAAAAAGCGGACACACGGCCTTATTAAAACCATTATCTCGAAAACCTAAAACTACGGAATCTATAGTTTAGCAATGATTAGGTAAGACATCATTCTAAAATTAAACGTTTGTTTTACTTCGTTTTTAAGAATTGGATTTTTTGTATTAAAAATAAAATAAATGCATCTAAGTGGAACCAATTTTTCTGATATGAAAATAAGAACATCTTAAAATTTACTTAATAAATGGATCTATTCAAAATATAATTGACAAAAATTTTTATGTAGACCTCTGATGTAATTTAGGTAATGATGCACATAGATTCGTAAATATTTTGTGTGCACTGTGCACTTTAAAAGTACAAAGAACTATGTTTATAAAAATCAGAGCAATTCTTAAAGGCACGTGTAAATTACTCGATCGAAATGAGAAAAAAATTTCCATGTAAGATTATTTTAGCCTCTGACATTTCTTTATCAAATAGTTTTATAATCATAATACTTTTTTTAATAGTATCAATTATATACTATAGACTAAATACGGAGAAAAACTAATCACTTTCACTTCAATGCGATTTTTATCTTTTGACGTACTTAGTATCCTTATTAAAAGCCATAACTATAGCTTGTCACGAGTAAGTGAAATAAAAACTTACAGACCAATAAGCGTTTACGATTTTTAGATTTTTTGCTGCAAACCCCCAAGGCCTGATGATAGTTAATAGAATTACAAAGTAACCTCCTGCAACTGCTGTTCCAAGCTTCAAGAAACTCTAACCGTTTAGAACAGCTCTTTTATACTCTTTTTTCGTCGTCGTCATTAACAGAATTTTTTATTATATATAAATGTACGAAAAGAAGTTTAAAAGTGTGTAATATATAGCATACATACAATGTATACAGAGCGCAACTCTGTGTATACCCCTTGCTTCTGTGATTTTTTTTTTACTCTTCTCCATGGTCGTTGGAACTTTGCGTTAGCTTATTGTACACAGAGCAAAGCTGAATACAAAGACTTTCATGAACAACTTTGTTGCATTGGATAGCCATGAAGAGATTTGCTTTTCTATAAGGAGATTTTGGACAATTGCGGAAAAACGATTTTATTAATTTTATTTTTATAGAAATTTTAGTTTACAAAATCAAACAATTAAGATTATTTTCCTTACTTTTAAAAAAGAAAAAAAAACAATATTTGATCATTACTTTGATCGAATGGTTTATAAATAACATAAGAATAAAAATACGAAAAATGTATCTTCAAAGTCAGAAGTGCTGAAAAAGAACATAACTGATGTATAAATATAGTTTGTACTCTTAAAAGAAGTAGTGGAAAAGTTTAAAAAAAAACCAAAATATTGCATAAGGGCTGCGGAAGTATTTATAAATATTGCAGATTTTAGTAAAGAGAATTTTTTAAACATTTTTTATTTTTCCAGAATTATATTATTTTAGTAGCTTGTCAATTTACATAGCATCAATTGTTATAACATACTTTAATGACCATGAAAAAGAGTATTTTTTTATAATCATATATAAAACTATTTATAACGGAGGCTAAGCTACAGACTAACAGATTAAGTTAAAAAGCAATTTGTTGAATCATAATCCAAAATTCATAAAATAATTAGTAAACATCGTTTATAGATAATTTTAATTGTGAAGACATGTTTTTAACGAATTTTAATTTTTTGATATTTTCAATGAGCAAATATAATTGACAATAAATGTTCCTAAAAACATCCAAAATTTATTTATCGAGTAAACAATGAAGCTCTGTTTTATTCGTCAGTTGCGAAGCCATGAACTTTAAAGATATTATTTCATTGCAAAGCATTGCTTGAGTTGCTACATTCCAAACAGAAAATACTGCAACAAATGTTGCTAGTATATTAAAATGTTGAGATTTTTATTATTTTCTTAAGTTTAGTGTATACGGAGAAGTTTTGATCAAACTAGTGAATTTTTATCTTATTTATAAAAATTGTGACACAAATTCAACATCTGATTTGATATGAAAATATTTCAAATCCTTCGTTTCGAACCCATATGTAAATACATACATAATAATAAAACGTGTACATATTCACTATTTAAATATTCAAATTAAATTATTCATATTAAGAGAATGGGTGGTTTTTATATGTTGTTACTATATTACATGTACATATTGAATGAAGCATAGATTGAATAAGAAAAATCACAATTGTTTTGACAGATTTATTATGAAACTTAAATACTCTAAAAAATGAAGATCTTTATATTTGTTATTAAAATGTCAATGGTCCTCTTAGAAGTAAATGGAATAGCCAACAATTAGTACATCGAAATACGAATATTTGTGAGTTATCATAATGATTTGATAAATTCCTTCTCGTTAATAATATTCTTTATTTAAAAGTGTTTAACTACATGAATGAAATAATATGATATTGAGTATCATAGAGTAGTTTTAAATTCGTATTAATAAAAACTGTTGTTAATATAGTACGATTATTCTCGAAATAATGTTTATACAATAAGTTTTTTAATATAGTATATTAGATAAGTTCTGTCATTAATCTATTATTACTTTTGAAAAGAAAGTATTCGTAAGCACCAAAGTGTAAATAAGTATGAAAAATTAATAAACTTGTTGTTTTTCATCTATCATGAACTTTAGTTATTTTTCAATCCCAATGAAAACTTATTTTTCCAGTAAATTTGCCTCTTACTTTAAACAAAAGCAATGCGTTTCCAATCAAAGCTACCTTTGAGATGATATGACAACAGACTGGCCGAATTGGCGCTTCACGAATTAAAAGAGTTATTCACATTGCGTTGCTAGGATAAAAATTAAGCGCACCGATAAAATCGGCTAAAAAAATTTCGGTGACAAAAACAAGTTGAATCGGAAGAGGCGATATCGACTTTTTCCAAAATCGAAAAAAGATAATATTTAGTCAACCATATACGTTGCGGAAATACAGAGATAATTGAGTTTCAAAAGCGAGGATCTTCTATTCAGCGAGAGCCACTCAATTTAAAAAGGAAAAAAAAACAATGGTGCATCGATGATTTGCAGTGAGATTAATGCGACTTCAGAGCAATTCTCGCTCGGTACTAATGTCTAGACATCAAAACGCTCGAGAGAATTAGAAAAAATATATAAATCCAAGGCAAAGTTAAAAGTCATGCACGAGCAACTGCTCCGCTGCAACGCACCACGGCCGAGCTTTTGAAAAAATTATTGCCTCTAATTTGGGATCCGTCGGAATGTCCCCGGAGTGGTAGCCGGAATGTCGCACTCGTCGCATCATTGTAACTCTCGGCCCAGAGGCAACATCGAGGATGTCGTCGGGGGTGCAGCAACGAAGACTCATTATTGCAACGGATACCCGAGTGGTCAGGCGAAAATGCCCAGATTTTCGGCCAACAACAGTCCTCGGAACTTTGATTTTGGTTAGTTTCCACTTTGAATGCGTATTTCCCGAGTTTTACGCACGCGTGACAGCAGGTTGACACGACGCGTCGCGTCAATGAGTAATTTTTTCTCTGGAAAAGCTTCGAGAATGCATGCCATCAATAGAACGTATCGAGAGCTCGCTTAGAGGACTCGGAATGCGCGTCGCAACATTCTACAAAGCTTTTATTTCAACACGCTGTCTCTATCTCGGCGTGATAGATTTTCAAGATATCGAAATTCCTCGCCTATTGACTTGGTTTTTCTCGCTTGACTTGATGATTTTTAAATTAGTACCTTGGCTCTCTAGCTTTATTTTTTTCAACATATGCGACGTACACCTTGAAATTTTTGCATGTGTATGAAATTGGTATTTACGATATGCCCGAGAATATTGTTTGAAAAGCTCGAGAAACTTATAATCTTTTTTATCAAATCCAATAAACGGCTGAACGGCCATGACATTGTAAGAGAAGCGAATTTAATATTCGACGCAATCCATTTAATTGCAGGCAATCAATCGTCGCGCAGGAGTATAACCACGTGTTCGAGCATGGAAGACGAGCCACTTCATTTACGCCGAGGTATACATTCAATTTTTTTCAAGGTTACTTTTAATCTAGGCACGAACCTTTATATTCATCGGGGGTCTTCCAAACGCGACCGAATCTCCGTTTTATAGCTCTTTAGCACAAAGCTCGATTACATTGGGAAGGCTGCGTTTTAGAAATAAAAAGATTAAGTAAATGCATAGCCTCGCGGCTATGCGTTTCTCTGCGAGTTTCTGGTGCGCAAACAATATTGGAGCTCGAGTCGCTGTCGTTTCAAATCATTCCAAAGGAGTCTCGGCTTTATTATACTGTAGTATATAATCCACGGCGTAATGTAAGAAAGTCAAAGAAAGTGCGAAATCCAGCCTTATAGCCCAATGAGCCTCGACAGAAACTTTGCCTTGGAAATGCACCCAAAACAATGCCCGAAGCGCGGCTACGGTGACAAAAGTTCTCCCCGTGCCGCGAGTGCGATGGAGCGCTCTGTTTCACTTTTCAATAGCACACAGGCAATTCGCGAGGCAATTTGTAAACGAGCGGACTGCATCATAAACTCTTTCCAAGTAGTGCAATTTTGTGTGATCACGTGATCTTTCATCTTCTTCTTCTTGACTTGAGAATTCTCCAAGTTTCAGTTAAACGACATTTTTAACGGAATAAGAGAATGAAAATTAAGCAGCTAGTTGCTCGAACAAGAGTACTTGGACTGAATGAAAAATTTAAATCCGAAGAAGTGTTATCTAAATTAAAAATCTAATTTCCACTCATATTATCTAACCAAAATATTTCACCGAATGTCATAATCACGCTACTTTTTTCCCCTCTTTAGATCAGGGACATATATATTTTACACACGAAAAAATATCTTTTCAAATGAATAACGAAATAATTTTTTAGATATATTAGACCTGCGAACATCGTCATGCGTATCCCAGTTGTCCTCGCCATACTACACCAAATACTTGGAAGGTAAAATGGTGACTTTGCAAGAGCAAGTGAAGAAAATCCTCGTTGATAATACTGCTCTGAAAAATCAGTGAGGTTACTCGCTAGCGTCCTTTAAATATCGTCGCATTTAATTCAACGATTGTAAAATGTTAAAATTGAATCGTTGAATTTCAGAGTGAAGCTAATGAGAGCTCGAAATCAAGAGTTAGAAGAAAAATCAATCGAATCGGAAGATCCTGAACGAGCCGTTGCCAAGCAAAAGTACGATCGGTACACATCCATGTCCGAGATATCGTCTCAACAGACCAATGAAGTAAGTATTTCTTATAAAAATCTGTTTTATTTGAACCTTCCAGTTTAAGTAGAAGCGTCGATGCTGTCTTCTTAAATGTTTCAATCGTCTAAGTTCAAAATCCAAATCTGTGTGAAAACAAAGAGACCACAGATTTAGATCACTTATTCTGACTGTCTTAACTGATTAGAATGTATCTTTCAGAAAAGTAATCTTTGGTTAATAAAAAAACATGCAAAAGTACTTGAAATGAGCATACACTGCTTACTTTAGGTCTATAATGTAAAAGTCATTTGCATGATGTATTTTAATTAACTCTATTGGCTTTATATGTATCTGTACCCGTTACAAACTAACTCTGTAATGAAATTAAAAATTTATCGAACTTCGTCGCGAAGAAATATATATTTTATACCGCTCAAGAGTTAGATTATAATGAAAGTTTTGAACAAAAAAATTATCCTCTCGGTCGAGATTGGAGTAATGATGGTTATTTCATTTTATTTTTCAGAAAACTAATGTCGACATGTTTCCCACTCGAGAGATGCATGACGTTTCAACGTCCGTAGATCTTGTCGAGCCTCGAAATGATTTTGCAGCTCAAACGACCCTGACTGATGAACAGAAACAGCAGTCGATCGAGTGTTGCGACAATTCAGCGAACTCTGTGTCAATCAGCAAGTAAGAAAACAGTTTAAATAATCGTTTTTTTTACCGCAGACATGGCGCCCACACTAAATATATAATATAAGGGATCATAATATTTTTGTTCGAACGTGCTGACAAGAGAAATGAGTTTATTTATGCGCAGTTTATATTTAAAAGTGATTGCAGCTGGTTTCTCGATCAATTTATGGTAGTAACTAATTTTCAAATAATCACTTAAGAGCATCTTTCATTTTTTCCAGCTGAAAAATTTTTATTACTGGCATTGTTTGTACTGTATCTTGTTTATTTCAATTTGAATCAACTACATGTGTCTCAAATTCATTCTTTCATCCTTTATTTCATCATTTATTTATGGAACATCTTTTATTTTATAGTATATATAACTTATTGATGGTTAAAAATTGATAGATATTGAAACGTGTATTAATAAAAAATTTTTTTATCTTTTATCTGTTCAGTTCACTTTTTTAGCTAGCTTGAAATTCAAATCTGTACAGCAATCAAAATTTCCTCGTCAAATATTTTCATAACAACATACTAGTATGAACGACATTTAAATAAGCTTTTTGATGTTTAAAAGTTACTCATACCAAATATGCAATTTATCAAGCAAGCATGATACTTGGCAGTGCGTATATTCCTGTTTTGTGTGTAAGTATATATGCTTGATGCGCAAGAGCTTGCAAGCTTGTAAAGCCAACCGATGACAAAGAGCAAAAAAGTGACTATTCGTCGCTGGAGTTAGCGAGGCAACGAAAAATTTGACGTTAATGACCCTAGTTAGCGGAAAGTAAAATAAAGCGTTCTTTTCGCTTTGCAGCAAGTTTTTTGACTCATGAATAATGCAAAGAAAATCATGTGCATGATAAATGTCGAGCCGTTTGAATAATATTCATTTCGCTCCTGTGGCACGAGTTCCGATAACAATTTATAAAACAAATCTGCGTAAGACTGCAATTTTCTTTTTTTCACAATAACGAACTACGATCGAAATAATACACCGCAAAGCCAACGTATCCAGCGCTTTGATTTATTCGAGTTACTTTTGGTCGAGCAGGTCGGATCTGCTGAGCCTGGAAAAAGACGCGAGGGCACTGCGCGACGCCGTGAGGGCCAAAGAGGAGCTGTGGAATCAGGCGCTGGAGCGCGAGCAGAGCTATCGTAAAATTTTGGCTCGTCTGTCGGTCGACCTATTGACGGCGCGTCAACTGGCTGACAATCGCAGCGACGAGATTCAGGCGCTCGCGCAAAAATTAGCGGTAAAAATGTTGCACACTCCATCCGATTTATATGTTAATATCTATTACGTTTCTTCATTCGTTGCGACTGGCCTGCTAAACACGCGCACGTGTTGCAAGCCGATGGAATATGTTTGCCGTTGGCTCGACGTATACCTATATACACTTGGAAAGCGAATCAAAGCTCGGCGCGTACTTGTTTGCTATTTTTATGACTCTTTTGTCCTCCGCGACACGCACAAAGCGTACAGTATGGCTCGCGAGTTATATTGCCGAGGGCGAACGGAATGATGTTTTATCGCTTCGCTATATCAAAGGGAGATACAGGGTAAGAAGGAGTCGAAGCTCGCGGCGCAATTCGGCCATGCCCGTGTCTATGCATACGCGTTTAAAAAGGAACACTCCTGTGCGCACTATACGTACCAAGACTCTCGTACTGCTTTTTTACGCGTGCAGAGCTGCTACGCTGTAACCAGTTATATAGCGCAAGAATAAACTATGAATACTTTGTAACTTTTTTCAACTTGCCTTCCGAATAACTATGCGGAAAATCGATGAAAACTTTATGTCCATGCAATATCGGACAATTCGAAAAATGACAAGCAGATTCGTAACTTCATTTTATAATCATAAAAACGGTCCTTTGTGCTTTCATATTCTCTTATATGCGTCGTATAACATAACTTCCACGATTACGAATCTAAAAATAATTATTTTTGCGAGTGAATGAAATATTATATATTTTACTTTGTTTTGCACGACGATTAAAATTTAATGGACCGCATAATCATTAATGACTTGATGTTTTCAGGAAAGGGAACGTCTACTGAAAGCCTCGAGAAGAGAATTATCGACGCTGAAAAAAGTACCGCAAAAATCGAAAAATGTTAAAGGTATAAAAGAGTTATAATTAAGTACTAAATGAGTGCAATTTTTCGAATAATTTTCTGTATAGATAGTAACTACAAAGAACAGTTTCATGATTGTTAATACCAATATTATAAAAATGCTTACTCAAAACGAAGTTTCTTTATTCTTGAGTGAAATATTGCGTTGGTGTCTGAATTTTAAAAAAATGGCTACACTCTAAACCCAAAAGAGTAATTTTCGAATCTCAAAAGAGTAAACTGCGTTATTTACTCTTTTAAAAAGAGTAAATGACGCAGTTTACTCCTTTCACTTTAACACTAGAACTTGAAAGAGTAATCTACGCTATTTACTCTTTTAGAATTTTATGGTTTGAATGAAAAAAAACCATTTTTATTCTTTGTATTAGGTAATAATTTTTCATCGTAAAAATTGAAAAATGAGTACATTTTAAATACTTTTAAGACTAGTTTGTACGTACTATCAACTATTTCAACGTCTTAATGTTACAGAATCAGAGATTGCTTTAGCAACAAGAATCGGCACGCTACCAAGTGTTTAAAATACTTCCAACCTAATAATATGATGCTACAAGAAAATGATTCGGATTTCAAGAAAGTATTTCATTGAAAAATATTATTTGTTATTGAATTTTAATAAGTAACAAAAATTAATTCGTCATAATTATAATACTTGAATTTTTTGTATTCTGCCTTAAAATTACGAGTTATTCCAACTAATTAATCAAACTATTTCTTAATACGGCCTGCCAAATTTTAAGATGTTTTAGATTGAAAAGTACGACCATACACTTAAATATGTTCTAAACTTTAATTTTGATTCAGTTTAATTATGTTCATTGTGATATGACTCTTTAAATTTGGCAGTTTTTTTTATTATTCAAAGCCATAATTTTTGTTATTCAAAGAAGTTTCATTTTTTTATATTCTTGAATCAATAAAATTACAGTAATTTTTTAAAATCATTGTGATCGAAATTTCGAGTGAAGAAATAAAATTGATGTTTTTCAATCGATCAATTCAAGATGTTTTTTTTTTATATTCAATGACACTTTCAAGATGCAAACTTTGAAAAGTATGGAAATCGAAGATTTTATTCAGTTTTTCTCGTCTACCTGAATGATTCATGAGAGCAAAAATAATACTAAGCAGTGATTAAAGAACATCGTAAAAAAAGTATGTCCAAAGATTTTTAACATTTTTAAAAAGCTTCGATTTTAAATTTAAATTTCTAAAAGTAATCTCTACTAATAACCAATTATTACTTTGATAACTGATAAAAAAATTAAATAATTGAATTAAGTAATCAAAAGAGATTTATACATTTGAAAACCTGATTACTCATCATGATGTTATAAGTAACAGGGGGATTTCACAGGTTAATTAATTAATTCAAAATTAATTCAAAAATTTTATAGTATTCAAAAAATGATAACAATATGTCTATAATTAGTTTTAATTACAAATGTATCTCAGTTTTTTTGTAATGATGATTGTGTCCGTAAATTTTCATGTTTGTGAATTTGAATTTTTTTATTTATAAGCTGGCTGTAGTTTTTAAGTCGATATGGTATTCTGTCAAGCCAATGCATTCATTTGTTAATTTTTTCACAGCACTGGGTGGAATAGTATAATATCTGGAATACAAAAAAATATTATTAAAAATTAATACATTTCAATATATTTAAACATTACTTATATCCTATAATTATACCTTATTTTTCCCGTATACCAATCAATAAGAACACTACGTGCTGCTGCTTCCACATCTGGTAGACCTTTTTTTTTCAATTTACCCATTCTGTGGGCTTTTTTTTTGAAAAACTCTTCAGAATTAGCAAATTCTGTGATGTCATACAGTTCCATTAACTGCTGTGTTGACATTTTTTCCAATATAGCACAAGCTGGACCAAAGGGGTCTTTTATTGTTTCAATTTTCACTGTACTTTTCAGCACATTCGATAATAAGTCAGAATCTTCTTGATTTTCGAATACTATTCCAGCAGAATCTACTAAATTAACTTTTGAATGCAACTGAGCTATAAGCTTTGATTTTTTATCTCCTAACAAAAAACAATACATGATATAAAAACTATGCGTAGAGGAGTCATTAAAAGTACATAATATTACTAAAAAGTATTACCTGCAGTATTTTCAGAATGATAAGCCATAATTTGATTTAGAGAATCTTTTACACTAGATTTGCCTACATTTGGTAAACCAATAACACCAACTTGTATGCTAGTTTTATTTTTGCAAGCTTTGTTATAGTATTTATCAACAATATCCAGAAGAGATTCTGCTCCAATGCATGTACTATTGCGGGTAATTTCTTCATCACTAAATTTTTTCTTACCAAATTGTTTTGGCTTAATAGAGCTTTTAAAAGGTACAGCTTCCATACGAAGACTTTTTTTGAAATATTTTAACCATTTGCTCAGATTCTCGGGTGAGACTAGATCTGTCTTATTAATAACTATAATAAGCTGCTTATTCTTCTGAGAAATTGTTTCTTCAACTTCTAGGCATCGAGTTCCAAGAGGATCTCTAGCATCGACAATTTCTAACACCATATCTGCTTCGTCAATGACCTCTTGGAACTTTTTCAAGATGGATTTTGAGTTATTGCTTTTTTTTTCTTCTGTTGGAACCACTTCCATTGGGGTAGCCATTTCTCGCTGCATCTGTCTCTCTAACTTTCTTTCTTCTTTTTTCCTTAAAATTTCTTCTTCCTTCATTTTTTTAATTGTGGCTGCTTCTGCCAAAATACTTTCTTTGAATGGGCATGAATTAGGCACTGGAATAATTTGTTGTTTTTTTTCTGAAACAAAAAATCAAAATCAAAATATTGAACTACAAATGAGTTTCTTTGGTTACAGGTTTCATGATCAATACAACTGGCTACTTACTTGTGGGATTTTTTTTTTCCTTCCTTCTCAATTTTTTATTATGTTGAGCGACTTTTTTGATAATTTTATACCTTCTTTTGGCCGCGATTCTTTTACTTGGTTTTTCTAGGAAAAAATTATTTGTGTTAGAAAATTTCGCTTCAAGAAAATTAACATTTTGAAAGAATTAAAATCTAATTGTTTTAATCGACTACTTACTTAAACAAAACTTGGCCATGATGTTTTGCTTTAATCAATTCCTTTTAAAAAAGAATATTTACTAACAAATTATATACTCGATTTTATAATAGTGTTAATCACTTTCAGTATTTCAACTTTTCAGGTTGCAGACGTACACGAGCTGTACTGGGCCATGTGCGTGCTGCCGGCTGCGTTGAGCGCTTGAGCTTCGACAAATGCCCGCCAGCGTCGCACGATGGATTAATCTGTTTTATCGTTCGGTATAGCGTAGCAAACGCAGCGAGAAATTCAAATAGAAAATAGAAAAAATTTTAAATTAAGTAAAAATATTGATTTTAATACAAGTGTATGTGAATCAAGTATTTACTCAAAGAATAACCATTATTTTTTTTACTTTCACATGAAATGTCTAAAATGATGGCAATTAGTTATAGTGAAAAACCAATAATTTATAGTAAATTTTTGATAAGTATTCAACAATCAAAGATTAATTTATTACATTCAATATTTTCAATACTCTAATAGTACTGTTCAAAATTGATTACAATTATTGTGAATACATCTAATAAAATTTCTTAATTTATCTATTTCTATTTAATAAATGAAACTTTAGTATTTATAACGTCCACTATCATAAAAAAATGTCCTTTTCGTCTATACTTGTGATGAAGAAATTAATTATCACTTTTGTGATTTTTTTCAATTTCAATTTCATGAAGATTATGTCTGTAGAATTGTATAAATAATAATGAGCACATTGTATTTTGAAGTGTTACAGTGTAAGATAAAGAAGAGGATCTATTGACAGCTACACTGCTTCATAATTTCCAATCGATGCAGTAAATGACACAAATATTTTATATTTTTTGTTGTAATTTTATTAATATTTATATTTATAGATATATTTGATTGGATAATAGAAAAATTTTGTGATAAAAGAAGGAAAAAATTTAATAAAACATAGTAGCTATTACCACATTTAATCAACAAGTACTACATAAATTATATTATTTACAAAATAATATTTTTTTTAAAACAAGATTATGTACAAAAAAAAATTTAACCCGCATTTTATTTAAATACAAAACTATGAAATATCCATTACATTACTGCCTATTCCTGAAATGCTGTCTAATACAATTTTTTCACTATCTTCAAACATTTCAATATTGAACTCTTCTTTGGATGTAGTCAGAATTGTAGCTGATACATGCGAGTCTTTGTCTTCAGGAGGTGTAGAACAATACTTGATTTTACCTGAATTCCAATCAGTCAGAATACTGCGTGCTGCAGCTGCAATGTCAGGGACACCTCCCTTCTTCAATTTACCCATATTCATGGCTTTTTTTGCAAGGAATTCATCTGGACTTTTGAATTCATCAATTTTATAAAGTTCCATTAATAGAGGTAATGATACTTTTTGTAAAACCACACTGGCAGGGGTAATTGGGTCTTCCAGGGTATCTATCGTTACTGCATTTTTCAATGCTGTAGTTGCATCGTTGGAGTCATTGCTTTCAAATGCTGTTCCAGGACAATCTAATAATTTTATTTTAGAGTCAGGTTGAACAATTTGCATTGACTTTGTAACTCCTAAAAAGTAATTTACATATGTATAATGTATCTACTGTAAGAATTATTTAGAAAGACTTTATAAAAATACTACAATATATTACCGTGGGCATTTCCAGTATTGTAAGCCTTACTTTTTCTAAGTGAATTTAAAACACTAGATTTTCCAACATTGGGCAGACCAACAACACCTACACGAATACAGGCTTTAGTATCGCCAGCATTATGACAGTAATTTTCAAGCAGATGCAGAAGTAATTCTGCTCCAAAACAAGTGCTACTTTGTAAAGTTTCTTGGCGTATATTTCCTTGTTTTTTTTTACCAAGTTTTCGTGAGTGACTATGAGTAGAACTCTTGAAGGGTACAGTTGGAAGATTTTTTTTAAAATATTTCAACCAACTGGTTAAATTTTCTCTAGAGATTAGATCTGCTTTATTTATAACGACAACAAGTCGCTTATTCATTTGTGCAACTACCTCTTCCACTTGGGAACATCGAGTTCCTAGAGGATCTCTAGCATCTACTACTTCTAGCACTACATCTGCTTCTTCAACCACTTTTTTAAACTCTTTAATGAAGGGTTGAGTATGTTTTAATTTTTGTACCATCGTTGGAGAACAATTTATAGCTGCTTCTTCTAAAATACTTGCTCTGAATGGACATGATTTGGGCACTTGACATAATTCTTTAATTTTTTCTGAAAGAAGCCATCAAATTAATAAAATAAAATTTGATCTCGTGATTAATTTTATCAACATATGAACTCACTAAAAGATATTTTTTTGTCTTTCGCTTTGAATTTCTTATGCTGGGCACTTTTTTGAATCATTTCTTCCACTTGGTCATTTTGAAATTTTTTACTCGATTTTTCTAGAAAAATTATTATTTGTGAAAAATGTCAATGGTAAAAATGAATTGAAACCCATGAAAGGTTACTTACTCCTTGCCATTTTGATTATTTTCAATAAAAATTTTAAAGTTATCTTACACTAAAATAATTCGTAGTTTTAAAAAAGCTTTGACTTAACACACGTGTTTTTTCCCCGCGTGTAACTAGTTATGAGGTTGTCATTTTTAGTGCGCAGAGTTCACGTTTAGCAGCGCTGCTCATAAAAAATTTGACTGCAAAGTGCAAGCTGCAATAAGCAATCTTGTTACAGTAAACGTATGTAAGTAACTTAGAGCTTTGTTCAATTAAAAAAATTAATAAGTACAGATGAATCACAGATTTTTTTCAGACGAATCACCATGTGTCTTAACCCTGTAAAGCTGCGTCAAATGGTTTGGAAATATACAAATGAAAGGAAACAATCAATATATTAAAAGAAGTTTAAAATAATTTGAAAAAGATGAATGTTTTTACATAATTCTGATCATTAATACAAATACACTATTTAGAAAAAATTAAAACTTTTAAAAACGTCGATTTTTTAAATAATTTGTTTGTCCTCCGACAACTGGATATATTGTAGAATTTCCTTTAACCATGGTGCAGTTTCTTTGGAAACTAATTCACAAACATTTCAAATCAGCCACAACAGTTACATGACTGTGTGCATGTATAACATATTTTAAGTACTTAGACATTTTTTGGTATTTTGTTATTGATAAATTTACAATGTTACACTAATGTAGAAATGTAACAATTTCTTCATAAAAATAGCTATGATGGATCAAAATATTACTTTTCTACTAAACCGTGTGCAGTACATATATTACCGATTTGGATGAGCTTTTGGTATGTTTTATATTAAATAGAAAAATAGTCCTAAAGCCAAGATTCTAGATACTAATATCGTTTGTACGCGCCACACTCCGTATAGACGTCTTTTTATATTTTTTTATCGATTCTAGAGCCGTTTTTGACTTACAAAATTTAGATAAATTTATGAAGGTATACATTTCAATTATGCTAACTTTTGGTGTTTCAAAGCTTGAGAAAGAATTATTTAAAAATTTTAAAATTTATTCCCGGTGATTTGAACCGATATTCAAATTGGCAATTCATTTTCTTATTTATCGCATTGAACAACACGAACTCAATTTTTTTAAGAACTTTTAAAGCAAAAAACCCTTTTACAATGAAAATTATATTTTTAGGATGACTGAATCTCTAAGCATCTAAAAATATCTGAAAAATTCCCAGAAATGTGCCTTTATGAATTTATTCAAATTTTTTTAGATGCTTCAGGAATTCAGTTATTCAAGTAAATCGCATCCTTAATGTACATTTAAATTTATATCGAGTTATAGGAGCGGGTCAAACTTTTTAGTATCCGCGACTACTTGAGAAAAATTACTTATAAAGAAACAACTGTGCATAGCGTTAAACATTTTTCTACAGTTACTGTTGGATAGCAATAAACATACACTTGATCAAAAAAACGAATTTTTTTTAAAGCATTAAATCTGTAAAACTTAAATGGTCAAAATTTTGGCTCGACATGAACTTATAGAACTCAGTTACGCCTTTGTTGTCTTACAGCATTGTAAAAACGAACACACGTGTTTGGAAATGTACAAAGAGCCTATTTTAGTTCTTCAAGTTAAATTAAAAGTTTTTTCAAAAGAAATCATTAAGGTGTATTTCAATTTGCAGGCGGTAAAAAACTGGATGGATTGGCAAAAAAGATTAAACACTTTAAAAGTGCCACTATAAATTTTCTATGAAAAAATAACATCGAAGAAGGAATTGAAAAAAGGGCAAAATGTCCAAAGAACTGGAAGGAAAATTTTTTGAGTTTCTTCATAAACCGCAAATTGAGTCTAACATTTTTTCAAGTGGCATAGATTTTTCAGATTTTGATGAAACAGGAAATTGTACAATCGTGATAGCTTCTTCTGCTCCTTATTCAGAAAGTTATTCTAAGGTGAGCTTGTTAATATATGTGGCATTTCACGTCAACTCTCTCAGTGCCGCGCGGCACGGCAGAATTAAGTCAAATCACTAAATTTGTGAATCGCTGTAAAAGTACTAAAATGCACCTAGAGAAAAAAATGAACCCATGATTTCGATGGAAAATCGCCTCAGCTTTCCGATGGTGAGGTCAGGTTTTCCGAAATTTTCCGCTTTACCCGGGAAAATCGCTGGGAAAACTTTAAAGTCGATTATCTCGAAAACTTCATTTTTAACATTTTTTTAAATAGTCTAGATCGAAAGATCAGGAAATTTTCCATCGATATAGACCTTTTCCAGAGAGGCGTTTTTTGATTTTAGCGAGATATAGCGAGAGAAAGAAGAAAAAACGTGGTTTTTTCGCGCGCGCTTGTCGGGCGCTACCAACTGAACAAAACACTACGTTTTTTCTTCTTTCTCTCGCTATATCTCGCTAAAATCAATAAACGCCTCTCTGAAAAAGGTCTATATCGATGGAAAATTTCCTGATCTTTCGATCTAGACTATTTAAAAAAATCTTAAAAATAAAGTTTTCGAGATAATCGACTTTAAAGTTTTCCCAGCGATTTTCCCGGGTAAAGCGGAAAATTTCGGAAAACCTGACCTCACCATCGGAAAGCTGAGGCGATTTTCCATCGAAATCATGGGTTTGTTTTTTTCTCTAGGTGCATTTTAGTACTTTTACAGCGATTCACAAATTTAGTGATTTGACTTAATTCTGCCGTGCCGCGCGGCACTGGGAGAGTTGACGTGAAATGCCACATATGTACTAATAATTGATTTCTTGGTGATAAATTATACAATAATAGCCAAACTTTCAGCGCGATTCTTATGATTTGTGTGTTTTTAAATTTTGCTATTTCCATGCATTTTTAATATACTTCTAATTTTTAAACATACAAAGGAAAATATTTCAATCATAAATGAATCTTCAGTTTCATGTATTAAAGAATTTCAAGTACGTTTCGGAGTACTTGACAAATGGTTCACCATGCGGAATAATGAGTTTCATTACGGAAACTCATCAAAATAGTTCTTTAGCGCTTGCTGTTGGAACTCCTTGTCATTTATACATATACAAAAATATGAAGCCGTATTTCAAGTTTAGTTTGCATCCAACTTCATTGCAATCAACAGTTAATAATGTAAGTTGATAATTTATTAATTCACAAATAATTCTAGGATATGTGAAAAAGACTTAAATATGATAATGATTATAAACTTAGAAATTGAATTTTTCATTTCTATCATGGAACTTTAATCTAAAAATCGCACCTCATTTTTGAGGGTATTTATGAACCCTGAAACCCACAATATTTTATTCCTGTTATCTACCAATACCCCGTTCGAGGCTTTGATAACTTCATGCCTGCTTTCCTGCTTTCTGTGTGAAGGAAGTTAACATCGATTATTGAGTTATATAACAGCTACAGTGAGAAGCTCGTAATTGCGACTCTCTGCGGACGTTGAAATGATGTTAACAACGTATTCAATTGTAACGATCGTTCGATAAACGTATGATGTCAGCACGCGCGGATGTATTATAGAGGAATTATCCCCTGTTAACTCACGAACTGCATTCACGAGTTCAGATCTGTTTTGGCTATCGTTGAATATTAGCATCTCGCTGCGACACTTGGGAGACCCGTGCTTTGACGAAGCCGATTCGAGAGATACCCGACCCGTGTCATCCTTGCGATTTGGAATTGTTGTACAGCGATGCGATCAGACAACATATTTGGACAGCAGTCCTTCGTCTAGCTTCTAAGTACCAACTCTGTTACTGCTACGCGACTCGCGGTCAGGACAACTTCATTGTATCAATATTTATGATTATTATCCAACAAAAATTATGTTATCTAACAAATTAAAAAAAAAGGTCGCATTTTTCTGCCTGGACTCAATTTAAGTGGGACTTTCAACTTCAAAATTACGTCAATGTTCCAAAAATCGGTATTAATGGGAAAACTCAATGTCAGTACCTAAAGAAACAAATAAACTAATGATCTCAGTTTGAATTTTTTGTCAGATGATCTTGTATAATAAGTTACGTATCTCATCAGAGTTTTCATGACTTTTTCATTACCCCTCAAAGGGTTGAACGAAAAATTTTTGATGAAATTTTCACAGAATAATCCGGAGATCATACATGTGCTTTTCAGAAATATAGTTATTTATGCAACAAGTGCCCAACAGGCGTTTTTGGGTACGAGTGCGCGGAAAAGTTTGGGGTTTTTTCGCACACTGTGCGCAAAAAGCTGGGCACGCGTCGCATACTAGTATATTTTGTAACAAGTGCGCGAAGCAGTTGACTCACCCAGGAGTTGTTTTCACCCGAGCGTAGCGAGGGTGCAAAGACTCCTGGGTGAGTCAACTTCCTCGCGGACTAGTTGCAAACGATATTTTTTAACTCTGCTTGCGAGAAACTAGGGTTTTCTGACGCTTTAAGGTTAGAAAACCCGTGTTTCGCGCACGCAGTGTTAAAAAAAATTTTATGCAATAGTATGACGAAAAATTTATTTTTATCACAGCGTGCGGGAAATAAAAACTTCCCGCAACTCGTGATAAAAAATAGTCATTGTCAGCCTCGCTCATCACTGCGCTCGGGCGACAAACTGAGACTCGTGCGAGAATCACCCACTTCGCGCACGAGTGACGTAATGTACTATTTTTCGCACATTTTTTAGTGCGCAAAAAGCGTTTTTGGACACTTGTGTGCGGTAAAATGCCTCATTTAAATGAACGTATTTTTCGCCTACAATTGCATAAAATTTTGTATGCAACACGTGCCCAGCTTGGGGGCACACCCACTCGTGCCGGCATGGTCGACACTCTTGTCTTTTTCCGCATTTTCGTGCCCAAAACGCCTTTTGGGCACTTGTTGCGTAAATAACTATTGTTCTACTAATATTTCGAATGAGCGAAAAAAATCTATCATACGAAACAATACTACTACTCCTTCCCCCCTTTACTGTCTGACGACGGATCTAATTAAATGCCCGATTTCCCAGGGTCCCTGGTGGAAGAGTGGACTTTTCCCACGTCCGTCAAACCTCTCTCTCCTTAAGTGGCATTATAATACCTTATCATAGCCATAGCTCGACAAGTCACAACATGCATTAAACAAACATGTAATATCATTTTCTCCGCAGCTTGATCACAAATTTGTTGAAGAAGATGGCATTACCAAAAATTCAGTCAATGATTCAACACACATATTTCTCAGGGATACAGCAAAAGAAAGTTGTACCCAACTACCTGATACGGGTAAACTTTTTAGTAAAAAAAGCTTTTTCATTAGTAGTTCAAATAAAACGCATAAAATAAAAAAAGATGTAATAACTTGCTTGAATAAAGTAAATAAAAATTCCTGGAGTCAAAACGCTCTTAGTTATCTAGTTATCGGAACTCAGCAAGGAGAAATTTACATTGTTGATAGTCAGTAAGTAATTTAAAAAATTTATACCACTAATATATTTGTTATGCCAGACTGGAACTTTCTATTTGGGATGAAAGTTTTACCACGAGTTTTCTTTAGGTAATGCTAATAGATTTCACGTGAAGATTAACGTAAATAATTAAAATGTAATAAAAATGAAATTTTCTGGTTCCATTGGGTATATTTTCTGATTGTTTTTGAAGTTTTTCAATTGTTTTTAAAGATTAGGCTTGAACCGGCAACATCTTATAATGGTAATCCACATTTTCAGCTAATTTATTAAAAAATAGTGTATTATGGTACGCGTGACAGAATGTGCTACTTGAGTCTCAAATATCGTATCACTGTGCTAAGTTCACGTTTAATCCCCTTTGCCAAGATATAAGTTGCTTATACAGGTTGACGCATCAGCGTAACGATGCAATAACAGGGATTCGAACCACGTAGTCCTATAAATCAGCATCATGCTAACTTGAACCATCACTTGTTTCGTGGAGTACAAAAATTGGGCTGAGTTTAAATCTAACTCTCATTTACACGTTCACCAACTTTAAATTGAAAATGTCGAAAAAATATTAATTTATAAAATCTATTAAAAAATGCCCATAACTAATCAATATTTTATACTACATTTTTTATTTAAAATCAGAAAATTCTGTTGGCGAAAGATTTTTTGGGAAATTGTTGTTATTTTGAAAAAGTGATCCTACGTTGTTAACATAAAATTATTTATTTTTAGGTCTTTTTTTACTATTGAAAAATACAAAACTTCTTCTGCGCTGATGGCTATAGAACCTTTGGGGCAGTGGTTGAGAGGGGGACTTTTAGTGACTGCCTGCAGAAATCGAAAAATTGGCTGCTTTTATAGAAAAAAAAAGTTTATCATGTGGGAACGGTCAATTTCACCTGTCGTTGTTATGAGTGCAATTAACCACACAGGTGTTGTTGTTGCTACAATGGATAAAACAATCTCATTCTTTTCAAAGCAGGTAACTTATTCTTTTAAATATTTTCATTAATATAATTTTTATGGGTTATACTTATAAAGTATAAAAAGACCATTGCTTGGTAAGACATTAAGTTTCAAAATAAGCTAATAGTATTTCGCAAAGCAAAATTTTAACGCTATTCTAAGATAATTATCATAAGTATCTTTTACAGCACTTGCCTTTGGCTCGTGCCAAGCCCTCGTTTCGCAGAAAAAGCGCGTCCACATCCGTTGCATAAAGTTCTATTACATACTCCCATTAGTATACTTGAAACGGTACTAGTTATACTTCAAGCGGTAGATTTGTTCCAATATTTTTGCGGGTTCTATTCCATCTCTCAGGAAAACCTTTCCCAACCTTTCCACTTAAAAACCAAAGAAGATCCAAACTATCTGTAAATTTGTCGAATAAGAAATTAATAAGGCGAAAAGTAGTTGGCAAAAATATATTTTATTGCAGAAGACAAGAACAATTTTATGTGTTTGCTCGTCGAAGGTAATCTGGAGAAACAACTTAAAACTAGAAAAAATCAGATAAAAGGCAAAACAACTGGTTGCTTAGTAACCTGTATTTGAAGATCCTCCCGTAGCCTATCGAAATACAAAAGTCTCTGTAGCCAAGCGAGCGTAATTTGTCATCAAACAAATTACCCCGCGTGTTCCTTTTGATGCATCAGCGTTGAACATCAGCGCTCACCGACATCGCTCACGACTCGGCAGCACGACTGACGAGAAACGTAAAAATCAAATAAATTGGCAATCGGGAACAATATCCTACAAAGTTTTATCAGTCAAGACGTAGACATTTTGCTGGTGTCAGAGACTAAATTCAAAAAAATCACAACTCCCTACAAAACTATAATTTCGTACCACCAATCATGCAGTTTGTATTGGTACCATTATAGGATTTTAAAATTTTAATAGAGAAAGGAAAAGGACTTCTAGCAAAAATTGAATAGCAATTCTTTTTTGTTTAAAGATTTAGGCCAACTCTGTAAAAACTAATTTTTCTAAAGCCTGATAAAACTTGTCAGATTTACAAATTACCGATGTATCTTTTGAAATAATTCAATTCGTTTCTTAAATGTGTTTTCAGTTTTGGAAAAGTTGATATTTGTTGTTAATTTTAACAGAAAATAATAAGATTTATATAATTACTACCATGTCATGTATGAATCAGCTAAATAAAATTTCGCCTGTTGCAGGGGAAAAAATTGTGGAAGTTTATTGTTCAAAGCTATGTTTTAGATTTAATGGGCTTTCAAATGCCCCAAACCGGTGCATTTTTATTTGCCTTTAGTATGGCCAATTTTGGAATTTATGTTTATGATCAAAAACAGCAGTTGGATTTTATGAGAGTCTCAGACACAGTATCATGCTTTAAGGTAAAATTAAATTTATAGTTATTAATTATAGATATCCAATTTATTATAACAATGATGAAATTAAATTGTGGTTCAAATGCAATCGATAAATGTAAAGTTAACACAATATTATGGAATCACGTTTGAAGATGAGTAGGTATTATAATTGCAAAAATATACCATGGACGGATTATTTCGCACTAAGGCCCCCTTTAGAAAATCAATAAAAATTAGTCTCACGCCATTAATGTGTTAATATTTCACATTTCCATAGACTGAAACACTCGTATTTGCGTGCCACTATGGTACTTCACGATACAAGTGCCATAAGTAACACTTTTTGGCACAGCGTAGTTTAGGGTCCGAGCGCAGCGAGGGTCCTAATAGCTGGGCCGAAAAGTGTCCCCATGGCACAAGTATCGTACAACATTTTATAGCACTGTGCTAAGTTCACATTTATGTCCCGTTTTCCGAGCCATGAGTCGCACTTTCTGGTAGCGCAAAGTGAGGTTAGCGCACGAGCGTATGCGAGTGTGATGCGAACGCAGTGGTGCCAGAATGTGCGACTTATGCCACACAGTGCTATAATAGTACTTTATGCAACGGGTACGGATATACTTTTTCAGCGAAACGAGGGGTTGCAGCACGAGCCGAAGGCGAGGGCTGTAACGAGTTTCGTTGGAAAAGCATATCCGTATCAGTTGCATACAATATTTTATGGTACAAAAGCCTAAAAGTAGCGGCGAAGTTGCGATTTTTAGGTTAGCGTGCCATAAAAGTTCTTTTCATCACAGAGTGCGGGAAGTGCTATTTCCTGTACGCTGATTCCCGAGCAGTATCGTAATATCAATACAGCTCGGAATTACACACTTCCCTCACGGCAGACCGTGCGGAAAATAAAAACTTCCCGCAACTCGTGATAAAAAATAGTATACGTCACTCGTGCGCATGGTGCTTCACGCATGAGTGACGTAATGTACTATATTATAGCACGCTGATGAACGATTAATCATAGCGCTTATAAACTGTGCGACGAGAATTTGACCAGGATCTCGTCTCTCTTTAGGCAAGTTGCGCTTGCTCCAAGTCGTATCTTTATTTTTGACAAGCCCGCTGCAGCCCTGTCGCAAGTACGATATTGCAACGAGTGCATTGTAAGCAACTAAGCTATGTGAGCCCAGCGATCCAAAGCTGTGAATGTGGGCCAGAGTAACAACCGGAGCAACTGTTGCAAGTGTAAGTTTCTGTTTCGATCTTCTCTCTTTCTCTCAATAAATTGCGACTCGCATTCCCCGGATCTGAGCGAACTCGCGCGTGCCTTGGTATTACACTCTTTTGCCGTCCAGAGTACGGCTGTGTTCAATCTTGCGATTAATTACTTAATAATAATCATTTATGCAATGGTATGACGAAAAATGCCCTTTTTCGCACATTTTTTAGTACGCAAAAAGCGTTTTTGGATACCGATGTGCGGTAAAATGCCTCATTTTGGATACTGGTAAGCGATAAAATGCCTCGTTCAAAATGAAAGTAATATTTGCTTACTATTGCATAAAATTTTGTATGCAACACGTGCCCACGGGCTATTTGTTAAATAATACCCGAACATTTATTTTAATCTAACTGCACCAAAATCTGAGATACACGTTTAAGGTTTGACACAAGACTTTTATTATAGAGTTTGCACATATAAAATGGATATTATATTTTTCGTTACACTATTAGTTATAATGTACCACGCGATTGGCTCAGCTGTAGCTCAATTACAAAAAGCTAGGATAAGGTGTTAGCGCGTGAAGACTGCAAGATGTTAGTGCGTCTGTCTGCGAGAGCTGAGAGCCGACCACCCGAGATTACAAAGATGAGCGCTATATATAATAATTGTTGAATCCCGAATTACAGTGGGGCGATATTGGAAGATTACCCGAATTCGCGTAAGCTATCCCGTGACTAGCGCGTGGTATGATAACCCATAAATTACATCATTCTTTTATTACCCCTTTTAATGACGTTATATCGAAAAACTCGAGGTCGAGAAACAGCGTATGACGAGACTCGATTTTTTGGATATAACACCAGCTTTTTGCACACAGTGTGCGCAACCCTTTTTCTTCTTTCCCCTTGCTTTTTATTGCGCATTCATAATTTACCATGAATTATTGTAACTTTTACCGTTACAACTGTTCCCAGTTGAAAAAAATTGCGTGGATATCCACGTGGATTATCCACGCTGATTCCACGTGGATCATACAGGGATTCCTTGAGGATGGGACATTGATTCCACGTGGATCGAACATGGATCATATAAAGAGTCCACGTACGTAAACCACGGGGATTTGCACGGAAATCCTCGTTGATTTCCGATCGATCCACTGGTATTTGCGCGGAAATCCTCGTTGATTTTCGATCGATCCCCGGGGATTTTCGCGCAAATCCTCGTTGATTTTCGATCGATCCACGGGGATTGCGCGGAAATATCCTCGTTGATTTTCGATCGATCCCCGGGGATTTTCGCGCAAATCCTCGTTGATTTTCGATCGATCCACGGGGATTGCGCGGAAATCCTCGTTGATTTTCGATCGATCCACGGGGATTTTTGCGCAAATCCTCGTTGATTTTCGAGCGCGTGCCCGCGAACAAGTTCCACATCCACGAGGATTGAAAAAAAATCAGCGTGGATAAGTCGAAAATCCGTGGTGATTCGCCGCGAATCCTCGCGGATGTTTTGAGCGCGTGCTCGCGAACAAGTTCCACATCCACGAGGATTGAAAAAAAATCAGCGTGGATCAGTAGAATATCCGTGGTGATTGCATTTTTTTCAGCCCATGATCGATCCACGAGGAATCCCTGTATGATCCACGTGGAATCCCTGTACGATCCACATGGAATCCCTGTATGGTCCACGAGGATTACTAATCCTCGTGGATTTCCACGTGGATATCCATGCAATTTTTTTCAACTGGGTTGACGCCGAAAATGTCACAACTCTAAAGAATTAATATAGAATAAGAGTTTTTAAATCTTATTTTAAGATTTTCGGTTACTCAGCTAATTTTAGGATTTCGTAGAAAAATAATATTATAAAATAGTGTGATATAGTTTTTTAAGCAAAATCATTACAGCACTCACCATGATTGACTCATGCTTTAATTCCTGTTCGGTTTGATAAAAACTATAACTGCACCATTTGAAAAATGTACTAATTTTTAATAAGAGTGATGGTTTTTTGATTTTCAAGTCAGAGTGAATGAGCTATCGTTTATTATTATCAAATCAAAACGAGCGATTTTGAAAAATTTTAACAGGTGATAACAATATGCGGTGAGGTGGAAAAACTATCAACGCTTCGAAGCCCAAAGTTTTAATTGAATTATTAATTTATTATTTCGCAACAAAGTTAATAAACATTTTTAATAAGATTTGTTTTTTGTTCTATTCAATGATCCACTTTCTCCAAATACTTGGTATTCTCAAATGTATGCTCGACTGTATATTCGATATGTAACTATATCCGTAAGCACCAAGCACACCACTATTTTTGGTATTTTTATAAATTGAAATGGAATATGGAGTCTTTATTATTTTTTTCAAGTTCCATGTCATAGAATTTGACGTATAATATTATAATTTTAAATGATCATATGAATATTTATTTTATTTTAAATAAACTGTAAATGTATCTATTTTTTCAGGTTAAATCGATTTGTAATAATGATATTATCATGGTAATGTTAGCGAAAAATGGAAATTTGCATATTAAATCACTACGTGAGCTGCTAAAGCTGTTTCAATCAGGATCATGTAACCATCAAAGTTATGATAATATCGAACCCAAATTTTTATTGACTAAAAAATCTCAAATTTACATGGAGCAGACTATTAAAGAAAGATCTGATCCTAAACTGGTGTATATGATATTTCAACGTAGTTTTTTGAGATTAAGATTATGCGCAAGCATGAGTATGAAACACGTTACCTCTAATATGCGAAAACTTCAAGATCGATTTTGTCAGTTAAATGTGTCGTTTCAAGGTTTAGGAAAAAAATTTATGCTGAATATTTCAGCTCCACTTTTAAAAAATACTTGTCAAGAAAGTCTCTTTATTATTCTAAGGTCTGAAAATTTAATTACGAAAAAAAAAATAATTAATTTGCCCACTTCAATTTTACACCTTAACGTGCCTTTTGAGTTTGAAAATGATTCAAAAAGTAGTAGGAAAATTCAAATTTTACTTTGCAAATTCAATTCGATTAATCCTGTTTGTTCAACAGATATTGTAATAGGAAGAGAATGAACTGAATCATTCGTAGTGAGATATTTAATTAATCTAACAACATCGAAGATCCCGAATAGAGTGATTTAATTGGTACCGTTAAAATGAAAGCATTCAGTCAAAGACACGTGAAATAAACGTTTGGTTGGACACACGATTGAAAATGTTGAATCTTCGGTTGAAAATTCTAGAGTGGTGTTTCCGCTTCGACTGTATTTTTTCAAATATTAAGAACCTAAATAAAAACTCTTTGTAATTTTATTTGAACTACCACTAGTTTAATATTTATGTAATAACTTTGTAACACCGCTAAAAAGAAAAAATATGAACTTACTCAAATATTTTTTTATTTTAAATTTGTTATGGAATATTAATTTAGATAGGAAAAACGCGTCACAAAAAGATTCATTGTTGTGAAATTTTGCAAGCAATTTAAGTATTATTTCATTCAAGTTTTACTTTGAATAAATTAGATTTAATGACTGGACCAACTAGTGTAAGTGTACAAATTCAAATGAATCTCGCAAGATTTCAGTTGAACAATGTTCATGCATCGACTAGAGATATTTTGGTAGCCCGCTTTTACGTTTGTTTTGAGCACTGTGATTTTGTAAGTAACGAGCGATGTAGGAATAAACTTAAAAGGAATGCAAAATAAATTCAAAAACATATTTATTCAAAAATATTTATTCATCATCTTTTCCCAAAAATGATTTAAAATTTACAATGTATGAATTGATATCATATTCCTCTTCATACTCATAACCTTCAGAAATTGTTGATAAGAATTCAGATACAGATTTGCTCGTACCTAAATTTACATTTTTATTATCGATGTTATCTTCAGAACAAGTGTTTTGTTTTTTTTTGCGGCTATTATCCAACTTGAACAGGTCCAATATCTGAAATAAATTAATTTTTTTTGTAGAATTATGTGATCCAAATTATATTTCAAGGCATAACAAAGTTTTAAACCAAAATTGATTGTTTTAACGGTAAACTACTAGCAAACATTAATCTGTTTACTCCCGAATGTATGTACTCAGATATCAGTCAGGCGATCGCGAGTGCTGAAGCTTTCTTTTTTTGTTTTAGACATAGGGCCAAAAGGATTCGTTTGACTAGTCACATTCAAATAAATTATTCAGTAGTTTGATACAACAATATCGACACTCTAAACTGAAGTTGATTGTCTTTTTGAATGTTGGAGTTAATTAAATATCAATTTTAAAATGAAAATTAGAGTTAAATGGAAAAAATCGTCAATAAAAAAAAGAATAGAACAAATCAAGTTGAAAATTATATGAAATGCCTAATAATATCTGGTCTAATAAAAAATTGGTGAGCTCTGGGTGTAAGATAGAATAACTTTAGTCTTTCGTAACAAGACAAATCAATCATTTTCGTGAAAAATAATGCAAACCGAGGTGATATGAAGCAATGGACCCGATGCTTTGCTTTGCCATTTCAAAAAAAACTTAAAGAGACTTCTAACAATTGCGCGGAAATCCACGAGGTGACGGCAGGCGAGCTCTTAAGTTTTAAAACGTCACCTACAACAAGATTCTGGGGCTTAAGCTAGATGATAACGTGTTAGTTGACAAATGACATTACGCTTACTGTAATTCGTAAAAACAAAGAATGGATGAAGTATGATGTTATGAAAAATTTCATGTCTAAAAATCCTGCAGGACTAGGTCAGTAGACGCAACGACTCATTTCAAATATCACTCCAGGGGTCAAACGGGGTCATAGAGTAGTAAGCTACCACCTCACACAACTCCTATCCGGAGCGGTTGACTTAGGTCGTACCCGTGTTGAAGTAATAACGACACCAGCGATTTGCGTCTGGTGTTTGAAACCGGAAAAATTTGTACATAGTGTAGTGTATTAATATTATTGCTCAAACCCTCTGAAAAGTTGATTTTTTTTCAATGCATCAATACCAGCTTACGAGCGCTAATACATTGATTAACACTTTATTGATATTTTTGGAACTTGAACTCAATCGAATATCTGGCCAATATATGTAAGTTTATGTATTTGTATGTATTTTCATAAATAACATTTTCGAGAAATTATTTACTGTAATGAAGTGGAAGACATATATGTACATCATTTTTAACCTTCGGAAATATGAAAATAGTAGGAAAAGAAATGTATGCAAATAGTATAGTATTAAATATAGAATTATTCTGTTAGATATAAAACTTACCTCTTCTTTGTGCATTGATTTCAAGGATTTATTTTCAATATTCACTACAGATTTAGCGGTATGTAATTTAAACTTTTGTAAATTCATAATTTTCTCTTCAATTGTTTGCTTCGTTATTAATCTATAAACATTGACCACTTTTTTTTGACCGATACGATGAGCTCTATCCATAGCTTGTAAATCTTTCATTGGATTCCAATCATGCTCAAAGAAAATAACAGTATCAGCTCCTGTTAAATTTAAACCTAAGCCACCAACATGAGTTGTCAGTAGTAATATATCAATAGAAGGATCTGCGTTAAAACGCGATACTATTGATTGCCGTTCTGCAATTGAAACATTTCCATCAATGCGCATATACGTAACGGTTGGTAGATGTTTTTGAAATAGATCTTTTTCTATTATATCCAACATATTTTTTAATTGGCAAAAAATCAATGCTCTATGTTGTCCAACTAAATGATTTTTTTTTACAATATCAAAAAGGAAATTTGATTCAGACAGTGTTTCATCTGTTAAATTATAATAATTTTGATAATCTTTAGTTTGTTGAGATTGTCCAATGCCACAATCGAGTAATAGTTGTTTTAAAGCAGGTAGTTTAGCAGCATGCTCGATATCTGATAAATCAGAATTTACGTTTTTCAACTGATTTTGAATCTGAAAAAAACATTTTATTATTATTAGTGCATTATAAAATACCTAAATAGCTAAATTAATTTATAGAAGAAAAAAATCAATTTTTGCCGTTTTTAAAAATGAATTATTATAATTTTCAGTGAACCTAATTTTCTCAGGATTTTTCATGATAATTTAGAAAAATCGTGTTTTCGCATATTATTTCCAAATAATCTGATCTAATCTTTGAAAATTATAAAAAAAAAAATTAAAGAAGTTTTTGATCAGTGCCAAAATATTTGGGTTCAATAAAATTTCTCTTCTAAGAAGACTCTTATAAAGAGGCTAAGCATTGTGGATTCGATAGTTACTTGTAAGTTACCAGTAGCGCCCGCAGTATTAATTATAAAATATTTTAAATCCCCGCAGTTTCATGTATACGTAAAAAAAAGCCACGTTCCGAGTTTTAGCTCCTATTCACGTCCCTTTTTTTGCTTCCCCCTAGAGAAAGCTTTGTGATAGGCTCCAAAACGAGTAACAACCAGATGTCATAGTACATGTTTGTTCACATGTTTGTAAACTACATTGAATTTGCAACAAATGTTTGTATGAATGTGTATGGGTACGCGCGTTTGAAGGGCTCGAAGAGAGGCTTGAATAATTTTATATTTCTATTTATAGCATTAAGCTGAAAAGGTGAAAAAAAATGTTTTTTAGAAAATAGGCTAGGGCTGTGCGAGTATCCGATTTTTCGAGTTTTACTCGACTCGAACTCGACTAGCCGAGTTCGAGTCGAGTTCGAGTCGAGTCGGGAAAATTCTAGTACTCGAGTTTTTTCGAATACTTGATTTTTTTCGGGTACTCGAGTTTTTTCGGGTACTCGAATTTTTTCGAGTAATCGATTTTTTTCGAGTACTCGCAATGTATTTAAATTTTAAGAAAATAAATGGTGAATCAACAGTCTCTAGACCCCTATCTTTGTGTGTATATGCTTATAAGTGTGATATTCGCAGCGGATTGGATTGGAATAAGAAAATAATTTAATAGTACCACACTTCATCACACTTATAAGCATGTACACACAAAGAGAGGGGCCTAGAGACTGTTGGTTCATCATTTATTTACTTAAAACTTAAATATATTGCGAGTATTCGAAAAAACTCGATTGCTCGAAAAAACTCGAGTACCCGAAAAAACTCGAGTACTCGACAAAAACGCGAGTACCCGAAAAAACTCGAGTACTCGACAAAATCGAGTACTCGACTCGAACTCGACGAGTCGAGTTTTTTCGAGAACTCGCACAGCCCTAAAATAGGCATAAAATTCTTGAGTTTCTATGAAAAATTTAATGTATTTTTTGAATATGAGTTTATGATTTACCTCTGATAAATATAAAAAACGTTATAAATAATTTACTGCGAAAAACTACGGTTTTGAATCCTGAAAAAAACTTTGAAATTTTTTTTATAAAAGAGACTTAAACTATGGCCAATAATACCCAAAATTGTGGAATAAGAACCGAAAGTTTAAAGTATCGTAGCAAAGTACCAAGGATTGTGTAAATACTATAATCTACAAATAATCATTGATCCTGATTATTCCTAGATTATAACTCGATATTTTCGTAAACAAAGTAGTATCAATTAAAATTTTTATTTAGCAATTGTAGACTTGATTGATTTCAAAATTATTTTCTTACCTTACTGTACTCAGGATGTTCTGATGTTAACACTAATTTTGGATGATTACAAACATTTTTAAGATACCTCAAAGCTTTAAAAATATGTCCAGAAGATTTTGCAGCATTTATGTCAATTTTGTTGACTAAAATTGTATTTTTTACTTGAAAATCTTCATATAACGTTTTTTGCAATGGCGAAAGATCGCAAAAATAATCTTGAGTTATTTTTGGAGGAAGATCTGTCAAAACATCTTCTTTGGTACGTCTTAATAGAAACGGCAACACCTATTAACAAATACAAAGAAGTATTAAATTATGTGATTGCTATGAGTAACATGTTAGAATTTAGTTAGTTTGACTTCTAAATTTTTTTTCTCTCTATCTTCCTTCACGAGAAGGCCTGCAGGAAGCTATTGGCCTCGAGTCTGTGACATGTAGCGCCCATGGTGTCAGGCAAATGAACTGTGAGCGGTCAATGCTAGTGAGAGTTAATGTATAAAGATACATTAGAAACCCCGAGTAACTGCATTTTTTATAAGTAAAAAAGGATTGAAAACTGAAGTGAAGAAAATAAAAAGGAAAAGGTGTTGTATGCGTGACTGCAAAAGTAAGAATGGCGTAACACAAGTGCCTTTTTATTATTTCCCTACAGATAATAAGCTATTTGCCTTTAGAGAACTCGCAGAAATGCTTGTTTTATCAATGTAATGTTGTATTATCAATGATTGTTTATTTATCAGTTGTTTATGGTGGGTGCCTTCGTGACTTTGTATGTAAATACATGCAATCGTACACATTTCTAGACCTCCCCCAGTTCATGATACCGCCACGGCGCGCTTGGCGCTGCAGTCGAGACTCGAGGCCAATATAGCCCGTGCGTAAGAGAAATGTTACTACCCCTTCCCCATCGTCTCGCATTTGCCTAGGTCCAACAACCTGTGAGGTAAGAGACACCTGAGAGTGTAAGTAGTGCATATGTACTAAGGGTACACCCTCATCCTCCAGGAAAAAAACCCAGACCCGAGACAGCCGGAGCACATTGAGTTCTCATTATTGGCCACCTGAAGTGAAACTTCAGAGTCAATTTCCTTGGTTGAATTTTCTTTTTGGATTTTTTTAAACATTTTTCGATTTTAGTTAATTCAAAGTTTCTTTTCTAAGTTGAAAGATTTTTTTTTCTTGATTTTCTTGATGAAAATTTTGATGTTTTAAATAAATTTCAACAAGTTTTAGCTTTGATGGCTGGTCATAGAAGCTAATTCTGAATATTTCGACTTAGTCTCTTATTATTGGCTGCCCTGACGAGCCGAGTCAATGCGAAGTCGAGCTCACAAACGGAGCAATGCTCTCGTTTGAGCCCGGCGGTTTGCGGGCCGAGCGAGCGACTTGCATGTGAGCCGCAGAGAGGGGGTAACGCGAGCGGCCTCGCGCGGAGTCGCGCAGCGACGTCGAATCAGTAACAGCTCGATAGTAGTAAGCCTAGAAACCCTTGAGAGATTCGAAGCGTAATTGAATACGATAACCAGAGTTTTTGGTGAGTAAGAGTATTCGCTGAGTGTGATTGTATATAAATGTGGATCACACCGTTGTGATACGTGTGTGCTCGCGTGGCGCATAGGTGTACCAGCGAGTAGCCTCGTCACGACAATGCGTTTGTGTCGCTCGTCGGCGGCGACCTCGCGGTCGCCTGGTGCTCCGCTCGTGCGGAAAAGCTGAGCACACCGAACGAAAACAGTGTGACGTGTGTCTGCAAAGCGAAACGCGAACGAGAGTAAGAGAAGCGGGCGTACATCATAAAATCGACGTTCTTCACGAAGAGTAACACATTTCAAATGTGTAACGAAGCACACAATAATAGTTTTATGATAAAAACTAGCACATTTCAATTTTTTTCTATCTGACACTAGCACGTTTCAATTTTTCACAATTAAAACTAGCACGTTTAAACTACGGCGATAAAAACTAGCACGTTTCAAAAAATTGAAATGAAAACTAGCACGTTTCAGTGATTGTGAACTAAAGTTAGCACGTTTCAGCAGTTACTAAAAAATGCCTAATACAGAGTAACAACTAGAAGTATCACGTGTCCATATTTGTTACAAAAAAAAAACAAATACAATCTTTAATTGTTATTAACTGTGCTTGTTGTGCGCGAGTGCCCAAAACGATATTAGACATGTCAATTAGTGAAGACTTAAAGAAGTTAATGAAAATTTTAATTGGGAGGACGCAGATAAAAGGATCGTATACATGATGAATCATACGTGAAACATGCTACTTTTTGTTGCAACAAATGATAATTGTCGCGTAGTAGAAGCACGGTCGCGAACGGTGTTCGCGCGTTGATCTCTCCATCGACAGTGACGACGCGTTCCACCTCGATGAGCAGGCGGATCTCCCACTCGCCTAATATACCAACAAATTTCACTTAAAAAATAGCGGTCGTTGGCTCAATACGTAGCGTGCCGGGTATCGCGACATAGTTCGTTCGAGAGGACGTGGGTTCAAATCCTAATGAGGGCAATTGGATTTTCTCAATTGTCAACCAGCAGGATAAAAATCCACGGCCTCTCGAACGAATGTTGTCTCGATACCCGACTCGCTATGCATTGAGCCAACGACCGCTTTTGTAAAATGTAACTTATTTAGGCGAGATGGATATAGACAGTGAGGGAAAAATAAGATCATACGTATTTTAAGATGTGATACTAGATGGAACTTGAAAAAAAATTTTCTTTTGGCCCGGGCCAGAAAGAAAAGTGATTTTTATTAATGCACCAGACACGTGGATTTTTACCGTGCAAAAATAAGATTTTCGTTCTTTATTATTACATTTTGTGATTGAATAATTAAAAAATAATCATCAAAAAATTAATTCAAAGTATTTTTAGACTCAAAGAAAGAAAAAAAAATATTTTTATGCAATAGTATGACGAAAAATGTCTTTTTTCGCACATTTTATAGTGCGCAAAAAGCGTTTTTGGACACCTGTGTGCGGTAAAATGCCCCATTTTGGACACGGGTGTACGGTAAAACGCCTCATTTAAATGAACGTATTTTTCGCCTACTATTGCATAAAATTTTGTATGCAACACGTGCCCAGCTTTTTGCGCACACTCGTGCCCAAAAACGCCTTTTGGGCACTTGTTACATAAATAACTATTATTTGGCTCGGACCAAACGGAAAAGTCGTTCGAAAATTTTTAAATTCGATTTAACCCGTCAACGCCCAGGCGGACAGAATTTTTTACTCTTATGTAGTCTGTAATTAAATCATCTTATCGGAGCGAGAAAAATTCTTGAGTACTCATTTTATATGTTAAACTTAATGTAATTTTTAAATAAGGGTTTATAAATAACCTATGATAAATATTAAAAAATTTTTAAACAATTTACGGCGAAAAAACATGATTTTGAATCTTGAAAAAAAACTTTGATCCAAATTTTTTTTATGAAAGAGACAAACTATGGCCAATAATGCCTAAAGTTTTGAATTAGCGCGGGCGATTCGGAGCCCTTCGGACCGTTGGAGTCAGCACTAAGCGCTCGACTCGAGCGCCGCGCATCCTCTAGCTTCGTGCGGTGAAGCGCGTCGTCACTGTCGTTGGAGAGATCAACGCCCGAACACCGTTCGGCAACATTTGACAATCGGTTCATAAGTTAGCACAAAGAAATATTACGTTTGATTACGTGTACAAAGTTTGAATAATGGAACTGATAATTGTCGCGTCGTAGAAGAACGGTCGCGAACGGTGTTCGTGAGTTGTATATTTTCATAATATCAATCAAATAAATAAATTTTACAAAAAATTGAATCCATTGATTTGCTTTACTTAAAAATCTTTCATGATCCTCTTCTTTCATCCTTCTTTGCGGGAAACAAATATATTTGTTTTCGTCATCTCTTTGAACTCAGAGATCTTAATCCTATCTTATTAATCATAGAGCATATTCTTTAGCCTTCGAGTTTCTTAAAAGAGAGGCAAGGTATCATTCGTACACATGAAACTTGTACACGGTCATTTTTGTACACAAGTAAAATGTGTCCAATATTCGTACAAATAATCGAACTTTTTTTTAAATTCTTCCAAAAAATGTACTTTTTTGTTCGAAAACGAACAACATTAGAAAAAAAAGTTATTGAATATTCAAATCGCACCTACGGTACATTAAAATTTAAGTTATTATTTGTGACGTTGTGCCACTGCAAACGTCGTCGCGTCGGCTGCGAGGGTTGAATTATTGATAAGGTTGGCGACGCCAATAATAATTGCGTGGTATTTTTGCAGGTACGCGCGTACAAGGAGAAAAGGTAGAGCCCGACTCGCGACCGCAGAGGCGCGCAAACGTAAACATTGTGACATTATTTCCGCCTGATCAAGCCGCGCGTATAGCCGATGGCTGGGCCAATCAGCGGCCGAGGATGAGGGGAAATACGGCGCTCCGAGCGCAGCGATGCCGCGGAGTCGGGGGCCCTGCCTCCTTCTCTCTTGGGTCGTCGTAGCGAGAGCACGCAAAGCCGTGCTCCGTTTTTGGACTGTCGTTTCTCTGACTTATTCTGGAAGTCGTGTCTTTTCTTTGGGATATCGGTTTGTACCAGTGTGATAACGTTACCTGTGTGTGAGTATTTACGTGGAGAGCTATCCGTCTGAGGATTTCTAAGCCATAGTCTGACTGAGAATATTTGTGAAGCCGAAATAAGAAGCCGAAACGATATTTGTAGGAACTTAAGCCATCAATATATATTTCTTATGTAATTTAGCCATTTTCCGTAACCAATAAAAAAGGTGTTCATTACGATAAAAGAAAGAGTTGGTCACTGACTACTCCTGTCACCCTCCTTTCCCCGCGCGTTTCCTCTAAAGACGACTTTCACCCGAGATAGTAACGCTCAAAATTAACTGCAGTGTTACAACATCACCGTGTTTACGTTCGCCTAGCCCGCGCAGCGAAGTCGGAGCTGCTACCGACACGAGAGATACAAGGCGACACGAAGACCCTCGCGGCCCGTGCGTGCCAATTAGCAGACGATCGCGACACTTGTATTTCGACCGTTGAGCCGTGCAGAGCCGAGTATTTGCGAGCCGTTTTGTACTGATTGTCGTGTAGTTTTGTGTGGAGTAATTGGAGTAGAGCGTGTGTGAGGAGTGTGCAGCGAGTGAGTTGTAAGTGCAGGTCGGTTTTGTGCGTGTTGGTGAAAGAGAGGAATTGGTGGCCACGTGCTCGAGTGTGTGTGCTGGCGAGACGTGCGGCGCACCAAGAGTCGACATCAACGCGACGTAATTCAACCTTCCGGCCCGTCCCCGTTTACGTCTGTGGCCAACAGACAACCGTGAGGAAGTCAGCCGCAACTCCCCGTGTGGTCGCGAGCCTCGAGAGCGAGGAATATCGTGAGTAGGTTTTTGGTATTACCGCGCTCGCGCCGACCCTCAAAACGGCAACGCAGCTCGCGTCCGCGACCAGGTGTGATTGAGTGCGTGATAGCTACGGCTTGGTGTGCATGAGTATTAAGAGTAGCCTCAATAAAAGAGCGTTTGTTTTAATTGAAATTCACTGTTGTATTATTTACAAGACCCGTCGTTTTCCTTTCCTCTCTCTCTCTCGCGGATTTTCTCGTTTACAGGTGCTTTTATAGGTGCAGTGTTGCAGTCACCGGAGGCCCCGCTCCATACCTGTCGACGTCCCCTCCAGGAGGAGAGTCGTACTCACGACCTGAGGTAGTATTTCGCGTTTTCCCGTCCCTTTAGAGCTAGCCGGACCCTGGCCGACGACAAGCTGTCGCTTGTCTGGCGCGTCGGATACCGACAAAGTCGGCCAGGCAGCGAGAACGCCTTGTGTACGGTGGACACGGGGAGTCGACCGTCACATATTCTACAATTTTAGGTAATATTGGCCACGGTTTAAGTCTCTTTCATGAAAAAAATTTAAATCAAAGTTTTTTTTCAAGATTCAAAATCGTGTTTTTTTGCAGTAAATTGTTTATAACTTTTTTAACATTTATCTTAGGTTAATTATAAACCCATAGTCAAAAAGTACATAAAATTTTACATAGAAAATGAGTACTCAAGAATTTTTCTCGCACCGATAAGATGATTTAATTGCAGACTTCAATAGAGAAAAAAAATCTGTCTGTCTGGGCGTTAACGCTGCCAGGAGGCGGTGGTGGGGAGTCGAGGCGAGTTAGCGCGAGGGAGAAGGCGCCGCAAGTGTATAATGGAAAAACTGGGATATACGTTTTGTCAGAAAATTATTGTAGTTTCCGAATCCGGTCTTAAAAATTTGAAAAGTTTATTCTTACAACATGTACCAGTCTAACAACAAAAAACAAAAATCGCCGCGTTAAATCTTGCAAAATCAATATCGCCAAAACTATGCATCCGACATAAATGAAATTTTAAATAATGAAATTTTAAATTTTAAATAAAATAGTATATTGTGCATTGAGCGAGGAAAATGGAAAATTGTACAGTGTAAAATGTACACGCAGACATAGAGTATCCACACGAGCGTATTGTATCTAAGAGATCATATAATAAAGGTGATAATATTACTGTATGCAATTTGAATCATTATTTTTCTACGGCAAAGCGAGGGGTTACACATGAACTGAGGAAGAGTTTTACCTGACGGTGTAATGATTCCAGGGCTTCTACCGCTGATTTTTTTTCTTTTTTTCCAGCCTTAGATTCTTTGCAAGCCAAAATTGGCTTAGAATATTTTTTAATGAACTGTTTTTCACAACCAAGAAATCCTGGCATAAGAAAGTCAAATAATGACCAAAGTTCTAGAACGTTATTCTGAATAGGTGTTCCAGATAAAATTAACCGATGATTGGAACATAGCTTCTTGACAGCTTGAGAGATTTTAGTTTTACTATTTTTTATTATATGTCCTTCATCCAGAATGCAATAGTTCCATTGACATTTTTCTAGTAACAATATATCTTTTCTTATAACATCATAGCTCGAGACAACTAACCTGTTTCAAACGAAAATTTTTAAAGTATATTAAAAATTAAAATATGAGGCCCTAATTGATTAATTTATAATTTGGGGAATTTATCAGCCGAGTCGAAGCAGAGGCTGATAATCACGTGCTCTGAGACTTTTTTTCACTAAATAGGTGCAAATGTAGTTTTTTGTGAATCTCTCAGCCTAAAATAATATTTTTGGGCTACCCCAACCTAAAGTAACATTTTAATCCCGCTGAGCAAAACCAAAATGTTGCTTAAGGCTGGGGGATTCACAAAAAATTGTATTTGTTCCTATATAGCGAAAAAAGAAAGTCTCAGAACACGTGATTATCAGACTCGGCTTCGCCTTGGCTGATACATGACACATGCTTTGAGACTTTCTAGTTTTTCAGGTGCAAAATATACTATTTTTACGCTGAATGAAATTCGAAATTTAATTTAAATAATTTATTTATGTATAAAGCTTACTTGAATTTAGTCAGTTGACAACGTAATTTTTCACGTTCTTGAGGATTTCCCATGTAGGCAATAGCACTAAGATTACTTTCATGAAAAAACTTCTCAACTTCGCCAATCCAATGTCCAATAAGAGTCGGTGGGCAAATTATAATACTTGGTGGTACGTTTGGTGTACGATGATGATCTACAGCTAATATGCATAGAGTTTGTAAAGTTTTACCTAGTCCCATATCGTCACATAGAACTCCGTGCAGTTTACAGCGATTTAAAAAATCAAGCCAATTAAGTCCTTCTTGTTGATAACTTCGCAACTTTACAGACACAGGAACATCAAGAATAGTTTGAGGAATTTTCTGAGGGTTAAAAAGTTGATTCAGGAACTGCCATTCCTCTTTTTTTTCATTACTAAAACATATAAATTAGTGTTACGTAAAATAATAAGAAGGAATACTTATGAAAAAACAACAAGAAAAAAATTAAAGATGAGTCTTGTTTCTCAACTATGCATCATAATAAATTCTAAAATGCATAAACTGAATAATGCAGCCTAAATGGCTTTTACCCAAACAGTGCTATATGATTTAATTGATTATTTTTGCATTTTTAAGTACAGTGAAACCTCCCGTTAGCGGACTCTAATAGTTCCAAAGAAATTTTCTACTATTAAGAGGTGGACACTTTTCAGAGGCAGACAGAAAATTAACATAAATTTAATGATATAAAATTGAAAATACTGTTATTATGCATTCATTACTTCATAATGAATCACAAATGAGTGTTAATAATCAATAACGTATAAAATTGCGGATATTTTTTCGTTTTTGATAATTTTTTCGAAGTTTTCATAAATTTATCTCAATATTTCATCATTGGTGTCCGTTAAAATGATTGAAATGTACGAAAAAAGTGTCCGTTAACAGAGGTGTCCGCTATAAAGAGGTAGTTTTAGCTGCTTTTAATAGGTGCTAGTCCCGTCAGAAACAATGTATTTTTGCCAAGATCGCAAAATTTGTCCGCTTTGAGTGGTGGCCCGCTTTTTAGAGGTGGCCGTTAAGGGAGGTTTCACTGTATTCCCCTAAAAAATTCATTGAACGAGACAGTACTCAAGTTGTCTGTGTTAAATGGCAATTTTTTAAAACAATTGTGTTGTGTGTGCATATCACACGTGCCTGCGCCTCCGATTTGGCAGTTGGCCGTTTGACTAAGCACAAGAGTGGGACACAACCACACTACCACATGCGTCAAACCCCTTCCATGCTCATGTAATACAGTTATTGTTGTCTCTCTGCGCTCGTTTGATCCAAACTACACGCGGTATTTTTATTAACTTACCTAATAAATTACTTTCATTTTTTACCCTAAGTAATATTATTTTTGCAATCCAGCGCAGAAAGGTATAGTTTTAATTTCTGCGACGAAGAGAGCTTAACCGCGCGCAGAGGCAAAAAGGTAACTAGGTTGAGCGCAGCGGCAAAAAGATATCTTAGTCGAACGCCGTAGCCAAACAATTTTTGCTCACTGCACTTAGGTTGGTCACGCAGCCGTGTATGATAAAATACTGTTACTTCATGAGCCATAAAGGTATCATATTCGAGCAAAATAGAGAAAAAAAAACATTCACAACATTGTAAGAGAAAAATAAAAGTGTCTTTACATAACTTTGAATTAAATTTTGAGTTTTAAACGTTAAAACAGAATTTAATTATATTATATACGTGGTCAACCTAAATTCAGTGAGCAAAACTGGTTTTGCTTCTGCGTCCGACCAAGATACCTTTTAGCCGTTGCGCGCGGTTAACTATTCTTTTCATCGCAGGAAGAAAATGATGATGCACTGGGGCGACAATTTCATCAAATTTAAATATTAATTAATTTAACCTTTTCATCCAAGGAATTTTTTAGTTTGCTTAACTTTTTACTATTCTTTGATGTCATACACAAGAAAATATTGATTCTGACACACTAGATGGCGCTGAAAAATTTACTTTAACTTTTCACATCTAATAAAATACTTACATTTCATTAGTAGAAAATATATTTGTAGCTAGAGGAATCATTTGTATCAGGCTGGCAAATGTGACACTACTTAATAAACGTACTGACTCATTGTTATCACTCATACAACCCAATAATGGGATCAGAAAATGCACTATGTAAGGTACTATTTCAAGCTTGCATTCATCTACAATACAAGCAATTACTTCAACAGCTCCTTGTCGACAGTAAGTTTTTGATTCTTGTGTTTTACATAACGGATTCGCATCATTTTTAGGATCGAGAAATTCAATAATTTTGTTGAGTACAGCTGGTATAGTCTGAAAATTAAAAAAAAATAAATCTATTAAAGAATAATAATCTTATAATAATCTAATAATATATCTGATAAATCTAATAAAAGTCAATTAATTAAGGGCTCAAAGAGGGCTTAAAATCGAAAAAAGTTATTTTGTTTCATAATAGTACTGTACGATACTAATGGCATAAGTAAAACTTTTTGGCACGGCGTATTTTAGGGCCCAAGCGCAGCGAGGGTCCTAATAGCTGAGCCGAAAAGTGTCCCCATGGCACGAGTATCGTACAACATTTTATAGCACTGTGCTAAGGTCACATTTATGCCCCCTTTTCCGAGCCATGAGTCGCACTTTCTGGTAACGTGAAGTGAGGTTAGCGCACGAGCGTATGCAAGTGTGATGCGAACGCAGTGGTGCCAGAATGGGTGACTTATGCCACCGAAAAGCATGCCATAAATGTGAACTTACGCCACGTAGTGCTATAATAGGATTTTTGTCCTCTTTTAAATGCATTTTTCAAAAATCCAAAATCTATATATTACGCGTTGAATGAATCTCGCGCTTATATTTACAAGGTATATATGTAATAAATACCTTGTATTTACAAATTATGTACATTGTACAAAGTATATACATTATATATATACCTGGTATATACATTATATATACCTGGTACATACATTATATATACCTGGTACAAACCTTGTGAAAACTTATTTTATATTTCTTGCTTTCTTAAAAATTCTTACAAAACTCTGACTCCACCAAGTGAGCGGTAGCGAGCGAGGTAATCTGCTAGTTTCAATTATTCACTGAGATACAGCTGTGTCCGTGAGCGTATTTTAAATACTTTGTGTATTAAATTTTTTCCTATACGTTTTCTGGCGTTTTACGTTTTTACACAGTATACCTCAGTTGTCGAAACATTCAAAGCGTACCGATTGAGTTACAGCACCGAGTCGCGCACACTTCTTCAGAACATCAATAGTTACGGTCGCAACCTCGGGCGAGGTGATCGAATTTATAGGTCACTTTCAATCAGTGGATTAATGATGAAGTTGATATAAAAAAGTAAAATGAAAAAAAAATTCTGTTTAAGTGTTTGTACGGGGTGACTAATGGGTCGTATCGTCTCGTCTGAGGTTGCGACCGTAACCATTCAAGTTTTGAAGAAGTGAACGTGACCCTGATGCTGTCTACTCAATAGGTAAGCTCTGAATGTTATGACAGGCGAGGTGCATTTTGCAAAAACGTAAAACGCTAAAAATCGCAAGAGGAGAACAAATTTAACGCGCAAAGTACACAAAAAACTCACGGAAGTAGCTGTATCTCTCTGAATAATTAAAATTTTGGAGTTCTGAAAAATGCATCAAGAAGAGGACAAAAAATACTATTGGAAAATAAAAAAAATTTTATGAAAATTTCAATAGTAACCAGTATCATAATTTATTTAGGATATTTGCGGTGATGCAAATTTTAACTTTTTTGATTATTTTTTTAAATACTAATTAATTTGTAAAAAGTTAATACAATGAAGAAATATAACTCAGGTTTCGTTGGAAGATTAGCCAAACGTGGACATCTGAAAGTAATTTTGGGCCATTTTGGGTTTTAATGGGTCAATATATTCATTTTCACTTATATTAAATTTTAAAAGCAATCTTACTTTTTTAGAGTTGCGAGATGCTGAGGCAGCTATACAACGTGATGCCAAATTTCTCACAGCCTTATATGGATTTGATAATAGTAAACATACATTTTGTATGTATTTTAATATATGTTCATACAAAGAGTTTTCCAAACTTGGCAACATCACTTCTAGAATTTGCAGGTTATATATCAATTGATTATTTTTTTCTATCAATAAATCATTATTATCGATACCGAAATGCGTCAAATTTTCTGGTAAAATAAGCTTCCAAAAGTCAGCTAGTTTGGTAGGAAGTTCAGCTCCAACTTCATCAGCTGAAATGCATATTGAAGTGTAATAAAAGAACATTAATCATATTTGATTAAAAAATCGAATTACTATATGTAGCGGTCTGAGAGTGTCAGTAAATTTAGGAGCTGGTTTTTCTGTATCATCATATTGCAATATTTTTTTTAAATTTATCTTGGGCGTTAACTATATTTTCATACAAGCGTGCACCGGGGATTTCTTTTTTCTCAGTATAAGCGAGTATGCTATTTTGCGTACCCCGTGGCTCGAAAATAGCAATATCCTGTTTAGCGCAGCGGCTGGGAAATACTACTTTCGGGCCGCTGGTATGTAAAATAGCATACAGGCCTAAGTTGCGAAAAAAGAAAGCTCCAGAGCACGTGTTTATCGGCCTTAGCCGCTAATTACATGTACTGGCGCGGGGCATTTTTTAATGTATCGTAATTTTTTAACTCGCTGTGGCCGACGCAATGTGGTCTGAAAAAATATTGCACATATGCATTCCGATAGATTTTTGTCAGTTCTTTCCAATGGTGGTATTAGTTTTTCGAAAAATTCGAATGTTCATGGACAAAATTGACTTCAAATTTAACTCAATTTTTCCGTAAGTATGCCCCCTTTGATTTTATTCGTAGATATTTCAATCGAAAGGTAATTATAATTATAGAGGTATTAACTTATAAGTAAACTTAATCAATGTATAATTGACTCATCAAAAATAAGTTTTTCCTTAGAAGTAGTAATAAAAATAGTAGGAATAACGTTCGACTATCATAGATAATTTTTTATAATTATTCGATTCAAATAAAAAATATAACTTGCCAATTGCTCTTAAGGCATAAATTGCTCCCCTTGTTCTGATTTCGGCAGAATTTTTTGGTGTACTAACAGCTAAATTATCACATTCTACAGAAGTATCATCTGTCAACTTTTCAGCTGTTTCTTTTGCTTGACACTTTAAGTTGTGTGATAATGTTATAATACCATTAAAATGATCAGAGTTACCATCACTGCATGTCACTACAACTGGTGTATTATCTGTGTCGGAACAGAGATACCTACATAAATTATTTACAATCTGAAAAAATAATTTGATATAAAATAAAGTAGTATTCTTTGAAACTAAAAAAAATAAAAATTACTTTATCCATGTAGAGCAATGTATACCCGTTACAAAATAATTTATACACTTTTTCTCTCTTAAGAATAAAAAAAAAAAAAAGAAATTAGCAAGGACAAGCTATAAATTATAAATCAAATGGTTCGCTTTTGTAAATAAAAATAATTATAATTTTTATTATTATAATTAATTAATAATATTATTTTTAATTTTAACACAATTTTAATATATTAACAACTGATTTAATACACCATCAGGTCCGATTTTTTCAGACTTTAAACGCTATTTTTTTTCGTACTTATCAGTCTTAAGAAGATATTACGGATTGATCGAAATGTGTCTTTATAAAATCTTTTTAAGGTCGATGAATGTGAAAAATTGCATTGAAAGTGGTAAAAATCGGACCATTCGGTCGTTAATGAGTGTAAATGACGTTAAAAATTAAAATAAATATCTTACCTTTGAATTCGGGCATGGTTTACGCGAGATACATTTTCTTACTAAAACCGCCAAATTTTTTGCTGAAAATTTTTGAAATTCTTCCTTTTCTTCTTTTTTTATTGAATCCATGAGAGGTTTAATAAGAGGATTCAAAGGTTCAGGTGAACTAGGAATAAAATCAAATCTAATTACCGCTCCTGCTAGAGCAGCATTGGCCATTATATGTAGTGCTTGTTGTTGAGCAGCGCAAATTAAAACATCATTTTTTATTAGATTTCTTCTTTCGTCCAAGTTTTTATATGTAACAGAATCTATTTTTGTTTTTAGCGGACACGTTTTTTTGCTCTCATCTGAAAATGGAATCGGTGATGACACTAAAACTAGTAATTGATCTGTTGATATTACTTCATCTTCATTGAACTCTTTCGGAAAACTAATAAAATGTTCTTGCAAGAGACTTTGATATTCTCTATATTCTTGAAATAATCGGTAAAGTCTATTTGCTATTTCATCATAGTGTGGATATTCAGATAAGCACTTCAATAATCGATCTCTAAAAATAAAAATTCATCATTAAAATTTGCCTCATTACAGGTAATTTGAGAGTTAAACATTCATTGAAGGGAGAAGAGTAGATTATTATATTATTAATATTTATTAATAGTAGACAATTTTACCATAAAATATAGTAATTTTTCCTATACATTTAGAGATTTTATTGGGATTCAAAGCAGCGCTCGTTTTCATCCAAGATGGCGACATACGCTCGGCACTTAACTTGGGCTCTTATGGGAGTCAAGTGATAAATGAATATTTAAATTAAATAAAAAATTTGTTTAGGTATCTGATGTAAACAAGATCATCCTTATTCAAATATGTTCTTGTGAAAAAATTTTTGTTAAAAAACTTCTGTCCGTTCACCTGCAATTAGATAATTAAGTCATTTTAATCCTTTATCTGACGTCAATTCGGCTGTTACAGCTCTCCTTAACCTCACTTTAGACAGCTGTAGCAGCCGAATTGACGTCAGATATAGGATCAAAATGACTTAATTATCTAATTGCAGGTGAACGGACAGAAGTTTTTTAACAAAAATTTTTTCACAAGAACATATTTGAATAAGGATGATCTTGTTTACATCAGATACCTAAACAAATTTTTTATTTAATTTAGATATTAATTCATCACTAGACTCTATAAGAGCCTACGTTAAGTGCTGACCGTACGCCGCCATCTTGAATGAAAACGAACGCTGCTTCGGATCCTAATAGCACTGCGTCACTTATGTTCACTTTTAGGGCACACTGCCGTGACTTAAGCTGCTCATTATTGCCCCGCTGCAATAATATATTATGAGCACCTTATATCTCGTCAAGGGGGGGCTAAACGCGAACTTAGCACAATGCTGTAATAGTACTTTACGATACCTGTAACTCAAGTAGCCGATTTTGAACATGACACTAGCTTCCGAGTTACGCTCGGCCCCGCCTTGTAATAATGGCCTGCTTAAGTTACGCGTATCATAATATACTATTTCCTATACATGACTTGACCATATAGGCGCGTACACATCAGAGAAATTGCGACATGCACATTCAATCAGAAAAATGTGAGTCAAGACGCGATTGCACACGAGAGCAAGATAAAATTGAGTACTTGTAATGTAACATACGATTATAGTACCTTTCAGCTTTTGAGTTTTTAAATGATACTTGTTAACACAGGAGCAATGATATAATAGCATTGCTGTAATAAGGTTAAAATATAGGGATGCGATGGTGTAACCCGTTTGTCACAGACATACATCTTAGACACTATATGATAACATTTTTGTTTGAAAAAACTTACCGAAGTAGAGATGGTAAACTTGGTAATTGAATTTGATGCCTTGCCCATTGTGTCATAATCAAACCAATCATCATTCTTTGTATAGCGGATTTAGAATTCAAATGAACTAAAAATATTTTTGCATAATACATACAAGGATGAGAATCTTCAAAATTTTGTACTGTACTAGGAGCAGGCATGATTATATAGGTTGACAATAATCCAAGCATTCTTGCAGCCGCACAGCGAGCTCGATTGACGCTTACATTTCTTGATGTTTCTGAAACTGTTTCTATGCCACCGATATATATCACATTACCCGTTGATGGAAAATTTAAACCATCTGATAAATCCTCATTACTGTAAATTTCATTGCTATAATTTTCATTACTATTATTTTTTTTACTTTTCTTAAATTTCAATACAAAAGTATTGTAAGGAACATTATGTGGCTGCATACAAAGACAAAACCAAGTACTAATAAGTGGGCAAGTTGCATGTAAAATAAGATCAAGATGACTCTCGGAAAGCATACGCTCCCATGCTTTTTCTGCAAGTGTTTGTATAGATGGGATATGTTCAACAAGAACCCTCTGATAAACATTATGTAGTATTTTTTGGAATATCGTGACATAATCCCTCCAATAAAAATCTTCCAAATTGAATTCTGTCGTTCCATTTTTCGAGGTTAAAATCATAATTGTTTCTAGAGTTTCCTTTCGAACATTAGAACTCGCATGATGAAGAAAAGGCCAGAGACGCGGTAAAATCTGTAAAAATATGAAATTTTATGAACGGAAATATTTTTGACTCGTAATGATTAAATAGATTGAAAATATTTTCGATAGTATAATTAATATTTCTCAATGGCTTATAGAAAATATAAATAAGATCTGCTTTGCTAATTGTTCGTTGTCGCGGCTAGTAACACTCTGTTTTCCCCTCTCGGCTGCCTCGCTTCATTCTGAGTCCTCAGCGTCGAGCACACGCAGGATACACGCACACTCACACGCGCGTACACACACGACGTGACGAGCAGGCAACGACACGTGCCTCCGAATCACGATACGCAGCGCCAAGAGAGGCGCGCGCGACGCTGCGATCTATCGAGCAGCGAAAAAGATCGCAGAATCTCTCGTGCCACGAGAAGCGAGACGAGGCTACTAACCTCGAACGAAGCCGAACAGACGAAGGACTCGAAATTCATCCTCGAAAGAAAAAGGCAACGTTTTGCAAATATATTGTGTGTGTGTGTGTGTGTGTTCGACGAGTTACAAACCATCCACTTAGACTGACGAGTCCAAGTGAAGTTTTGTGTCATTAATCATCGACACCATCAGCGGCCATCATCACGACGCAGAGACGAGACGACGACGACGACCCAGCGACGTGCCGAAGATCTTTGCGAAAGGTAGTTTTTAAGCCGTAATTTCACCGTCGAGTCGCCGCGTCCGTCGCGTACGTTCTTTACTCGTACCCGGGAAATCGGTCGACGCGAACTCGCGGAAACGAATACGAGAAAATTATCACGACGGTCTGCATGCCGTCTCATGCAGTGGCGCCCTTCAATTTATACCATACAATTATAATTTGATTAATAATCATACTTGACATTTATTTAGTAGCTCAAGTTTCTTTCTTTTATTTATTTTTCCCCACCTAACCTACGCTACAAGGGTTTACCCTGCCCACGCCCTCTCCATAAAAGAAAAAAAAAACACACACACACATACACACACACGGATATTTTAAGACCTCAACAATAACAAATGAAATCTCAAATTATTTGATTTTTAATTAATAATTGAAATATTATACCTTTCTAACAGCTTGGAATGAAAAATTAGAATCAACAAGTACTATAGATGATGTTATTGCAGCCAGTAACTCCATGAAACTGTTACAAGCTGTAGCTAAATCATCTTGTTCTTCAATCAACTCCCATAAATTTAGCATGATATCTTCAATACTTTTGATATCTAAATGTTTCATTAAACTTGGAGCTATTGGAATGAGTGCACTTGCAGCCATAGCCCCAACGTCATCAACTGGATCTGTAAGACTTTTTAATAACACTGGATATATTCTAGGAATTAAATCATCATGTAGATCATTTCTAATAATGAGCAAATATTTAAGAGCTAAAAGTGCTCCATGTCTTGGTTCCCATGCATTACTATCAAGCATTTTTATGAGAATAGATAATAAATTCGAAATATAAATATTTTTAGTTTGGCTAGAATCTTCATTTGGTATCAAAAAAACCAGAAAACCGAATGCTTGAGCACAAGTCTCCCGAACGGGAGCAATAACTTGGTCAGATACGAAATCACCAAACCGATCAGAACCTATAACACTTAAAATTCGAAGTGTGGCGTCTATTATCCATTTGCAATGACTTTCTTTCATTTCATTTATAGTTTGATTTCTCTGTTTCCCAGCTCCTACAAAAAACGAAAAATGGCAATATAAAATAAATGTATTGATGCATCGTTTGATAACATGAGTTAATATCGAAGGTTGTTTAAAATGAAAAACTTTTTCTTTATAAGCAAAGTTGTAAGGGAGTTATCACTCACTCAATCATTGTGAATTCGTAGAAAAAGTATGGACGTGAATTTTATTTTATCATGAACTTTGGGTTAATTTTGTAATTGAATTGTTGCTAGGATCAATTAAACTTCGACTTTTTATTCGTTACTTTCAAAGAGAATCTCAACTTGTTTTTGAATTTTCAAACTTAATTTCTCAAACTTTCCTTAATGAAAAATGAAAGATAAGATAAAGAACAAAACATCCATTGACAGCCACACATACCAGAATACGCACAGTATCTCTTCTCTTTCGCACCCTATCCCGATAACCATATATGTAAATAGATAGAAACAATCACATTGTCAGGCGTGAGCTTTTTTTTTAAATGTATTGACAGCGATTTCATATTTGATTCTCTTTTTATTTACTATACTTTTATAAAAATAATAGACCGAAAAGTAAAGCCGCAACGTCTGATTGGTCGAGTTACTTTTGACTCGAATCGAAATGGGACAAGCGCGTCTGAAAGTTACTAGTGATTGTAAATGATCTCTATGAAAATGAGTTAATTATAAGAGATCTTAATATAAATAAATTCCGTTAACATACCTTTTCCATGGAGTTTTATTATTTCTCTTAATCCTGTAGCAGCTCCATGCCTTATTTCCCATTTTGAACTAAATAAATCTTGAAGAAGATTCTCTACAAAAGCTTCAAACGGCCAATAAATAGCAGAGTCTGGCCATGACTTAGGCCCATCTGGTGTCACACACCTGAGGTCAGTTACATTACCATTATCAAAATCATACCATGACTTCGCATCATCATGTTCGATTTTCATTCTTTTAACTGATGTTTCTTCATTATTTTTACAATATGTATCACTAAAATTGGGATCATTTTCAATCGAGAACTTAGTTTCTTTGGTATTCACTGCTTCGGAAAAGTTTTGTTTCGAGTTTTTTGATTTTCTTCGAACCTTATTAACTTCCCTTCTACTTAAGGTCCAAGATTGATCATTAAATAAGTTTGAATCAGCACATGAAAAGTAAAAAACATCATCTTTAAGATGTTTGTTATTCAGTTTGTCAACATCGGATACTGGAAAGGATGAATAAATATCCGAAAAATCTCTTTGATCAGTCCAATTTGATTTAACGATACTCGAATCAACGTCAAGATCTGTTTCTTCAGCAGCTACTAATAAATTTTGAGTTACAACTTTTTCGACATCAAAAGTTTCAAAATTTAATTTCGAGGAGGTATCAGTCCAATTTGCATTTTTTTCAAAGTCATCTAGAATAAACAAAAAATATATTCATAAAAATGAATAATTTAAAAATTAAATTGTAATCTGTAATTGTTAGTAAACAGACTGTAATAGTACTTTACGATGCAAGTGCCATAAGTAACACTTTTTGGCACGACGTAGTTTAGAGCCCGAGCGCAGCGAGGATCGTAATAGCTGGGCCGAAAAGTGTCCTCATGGCACAGGTATCGTACATTATTTTATAGCACTGTGCTAAGTTCACATTTATGCCCCCTTTTCGGAGTCATGAGTCGCACTTTCTGGTACCGCGAATTGAGGTTAGCGCATGAGCGTATGCGAGTGTGATGCGAACTCCGACTATCTCCGCGTCCCTACCTACTCCGCGTAATCTAAGCCCTGATACTGATTCTACACGCGACTGGTTATGCTGAAGCACGGGACGCCTGAGGGCCCTGAGGCCGTGACGCGCCGAACCCGGACGACGAGGTTATTCACTACGTCTCCGTCACACTCACACACTCACACTTTCTCGTACTCGCTAGTGTACCGTCGGGCTGACTCACGCACCCGACGAGGCTACTCGCCGGCACACCTATGCGCCACGCGAACACACACGTATCACAATGGTGCCTGATCGACACCCACACACAATCACGTTCAGCAAATACTCTTACTCATCAAAAACTCGGGCTATCGTACTCAAATACGCTTCGAATCGCACAAAGGGTTTTCTCGGCTTCATGCTGCCCCCTCTTTGGGGCCCACACGCGAGTCGCTCGCTCGGCCCGCAGACCGCCGGACTCAAACAAGAGTATTGCTCCGTTTGTGAGCTCGACTCCGCATTGACTCGGCTCGTCACGGCAGCTATTATGACTACCACGTCATACTCGGTAAAAAATCAAAATTTTGGAATTTTAAAAAACTTTACAAAAAGGAGAGAAAAACCTAACTCAAGAATACAATTTTTTCTATTTAAACCCCCTTTTAGCCCTTAAATAGCCATGGAAAAATTCTAAAAATATTGTATCTGTTGGCTTTTTTCAAAAAAAATTATTTAAGGTAGTTCCCTCAAAAATGACTATCGATAAAATCTCTTGAGATTTTTACCACATTGTATTGACAATGTTTTTAATATGTAGAAGAAATATTAGCATTAGTTTTGGGGCCAGCCTCCGCAAGTACATGCTGGACCTATAGAGTGGAAGCTAGTCTACAACGTGTTTTCTCTTCTAATGTATTATTCAGGCAATTTTTTTATCACTGTCATCTCATTTTTCTTTTGCATATTTTATACATTTATTTTCTTTCCAATTGTAATAAGCTATATATGCGTTGATCGTGCGCCTATTCCCCGTTATTAAACTCTCGACGCCCAGACGGATAGAATTTTTTTCTCTTTCGTAGTCTGTAATTAAATCATATTATCGGAACGAGAAAAATTTTTAAGTATCCATTTTCTATGTAAAATTAAATTTACTTTTCGAATATTTATAATTAACCTCTGATACATATTAAAAAAGTTATAAACAATTTATGGCGAAAAAACACGAAAAGACACGAATAATTCACCCGATCTCGTTTTTCTCAAAAAGCTAAAAGGCTACGAGGCTCCGTAGATATGAAGCGACGCTATGTCTTAAATTGATTTTTAATCATGAAAAACACACCCGGCGTGCCTCTTTAATGAGACTCAACGCACTTTCTTCCTCATAATCTCCCACTGGACTTAGGCATCGAGGAGCGCGCTTGCGCTCGCTCTGGCAAGTTCTTTTATACGTCACAATTCAGCTTCTATACACAAAAAAAATCCCTTAAAAAAAATCCCTTAAAATGACTTTCGTATCTTACAATTTTGACCAAATATTATTAAAGATTCTTTTTATATTGCTGTAGTGTTGAGGTCCGCGAGTTTAGTCCTCAGCGATGATCGGCGGTGTAATAGAAAAGAGCGGGAAGGCTTGGAAAAATAAAGGTTAAAGAGGGCTTTTCTTTTTAAGTTGCTTACGGCTCTGCGCGCCGAGAAGTTCTGAATTTGTTCTCTTTTTCACATACACGAATTACCCCACAAAAGTACATTACGAAATTCCCCCCTTTTAATACATATTATTTACATTATACGCGTTACAATTTTGCCGTACTACGCCTGTGTTATTATTTACTCGTCTAATTACGACGCATATCGGCGCTTATTATCGTACATACATCATATAGAATCCTCATACATATGTAAGAGAAATTTCAAGATCTTCTGTGGTACTTTTTTCAAGATATCATTAATCAAAGTTTAGTACTTTAGCACACGATCCCTATCTTAGCGTGTGATTATAAAAAAAAAAACGCAGCGACAGAACTTTTTCGAAAAAAAGTGAATGTTCAGTATGTACTGAAACATATCTCAAAAATTGGGAACATTTGCCGGTACAGTTTTCGAGAAAAGTTGATTGTAAATTGTCAATTTGATTGTCATATTGAGCCGCTGGAACACGTATATATCGATACGTACACATAGACTGATAGATATCATTGACAGTGACAAAATGTAAGATCAGTGACAGTGTGTGAGATTTCAGGCAGCGCCGTCGCGATCGAACTCGATACCGATTGTGGCGCAGGAATTCTCTTAAATTCATAAATATCAAATGCGCCGACCAATCAAAACATGAATAAATCGGCTTCACTTAATCAATCGACTTACCATTTTTTCTAAGTAAAAATATAATGTAACTGAAAAATATAGCTTGAGTGTATGTAAAGTCACAACGATCTACACAAGATTCGCAAACTATGTATGAGAACTCTGCTATTTAGACTTTGCATTGTTAATTTGATTTTTTTTTCTATCGAGATATTGTGTAATAAAAACTACTAAATAAGATTTAAGTGATAATTAATCACTAAAAAAATTTTGTTTTAAAAAAAATAACTATATCATTGCATATTATTATTTATGATTATTGATTTTCTCACAAAATCTTATGGGTTCATACACTTGAAAAATTCTATGAGCTATGAAAAATAATTCATTTTTTATCTGAACTGGAGTGAGACTATTTTGAAAATTTATATTAAGTGAATTAGACAAAATTTTTCATCCATTCAATAATCTCAAGTTATCATATTTTTTCTTACAATTGTTCATACAAAAAGTGATACAGAATGCACTACTTTATTTTCCTGTGGGTTTCAGTTCTCAATCAGTTTTTATTAGCGAATAAATAAGTTAATTTTTACTTTGGTTTTACAATGAAAAAGAAAAAGATCCAAACGCTATTATTATAAATATACATAATTAAGATCTTGTACAAAAATCAACTTATTTATACTTTACAATCTTAAAATACTAACCTGATGATTTTGATGTGAGATTTATATTTTGAATCATTTGATTTCAACAATAATTTGAATTTGTATATATTTACAAAAAAAGGATATAGACTTTTTAATTCAGTTAAGAACAAATTCAATATCTTTTAGACGAATTTGAAGGTGATTAATTATTATTCTTTTTTAAAGTCATTTTCAATTAAGTAAAATAGAATTATAGAAAAATTAGAATCAATTCTTACCATTGCTTACAATTGGATATATTTTTAAATGATGGTAAAATAAATGAACGATGAATGGAAAAAAGAATATACCTAAAAAACTATGAATTAATGCAATGCATTTAAGAAGCTTGCAATATTTATGACAAAAAAAAGCTCATCAGTGGTACAGGCAGAAATTATTTTTACATCAGGGAAATTTATAAAGTTCATAAGTATATTTTTTATTTAATAGATTGTAAGTTTTAAATAAGATACAATACACAATTTCAAAAATTTTTCCTTAGTTGAAAATTATTTTTCATTCTAGGTAGAATACAAAAGCTAAAAAATCACAAACATAACGTAACACTGACCTTGATTCGAAGCAGGTGTTGGATTCCACTGAGGAACTTGTGAGAGAATGGAATGAATTGCATTACCAGCAGCGATTCTTGTATCCCATTGTACAGATTTTAATAGACGAGATACTTTTGCTAATAGGTGATGCAGTTCATGCGGGTGCAAGCGTTGTACTTCTCCCAATTGCTCTGCAGCAGCTTGTTTTGTAATAATGTTTGCTCCAGTATCGAGCAATATAAATAGTTTGTCTAATCTGTAAAATGAAAAAATTTATATCTCTCATTTTTTTTTATATAGGGTTGAGAGTAAAGATATGTTTGTGCATAAGTGTACATCCATCATCTAACCTAGATTGCATTTTTACTAATCATTGTTGACTTTGCCTTCTATGAGAACACCTAAAACTATTAGATGCTTAAGTAATACTTTCCAGGTACTAGGATTTATTAATGTTTTAAATATTGAGGGCATGACTCAAAACATGATACAAAACAAGTTTGAAAATTCAATTTCAAAGTTTGAAGTGATGATGAGCCTTAAAGGCCGTTATACACAACTGAGATGAAAACTGAATAAAATAATAAATAGGTAAATTTCCTGACCAGAGCTATGTAAAGACATAGGTCATGCAGCATTAAGGACAGTCAGCCAATGTTAGAGGGTAAAATATGACTGTCACTTACAATCTTGGTCTACCTTTTTTACACAATTTGTGTTCCTGACATTTGAGGAATCAGCAGCGACGTATTGCGGTAGTCACCTCAACGGCATTCAACAGACACAAGTGACGAACTCTAAACGAAAACATTACTGAAATTTAGTTCAGTCAGAGATAATCTCTAAAGAGTAAACTATTATAAAAATTTATATATTTTTTAAATGAATCTTAAATACAAGTCATATTACGTAGCTGCAAAAATTTTTTTAAATCAAAATAAAGTTATCCAATAAACGTTTTTACGAATTCTAAAAAAATACATGACTATAATATTTTAAAAATGTCCAAGTTTCTAAAGTAAATGTGCAATTAAAAATTTCTGTAAATGCATCATTTATAGAATTATTATTTTTGTTAATTAAAAAGCGTTCTGATTCATTAATTTTTAATTCTTTAATATGAAAAACTAAAGTGCATAAATTCGTTTCTTCACATCTTTATAATGAATCGTTCACGATGTATTTTCTCATGTTTTTATGAAAATTAAGCTTACTTTAATCGATTCGCCAAAAATAGTCATTCATAGACTTTTCACCCTTCAAGTTAGGCAACACAGATCTTTTTTACAGAAATTCTTGAAAATTTTTCAACGATAATAACGTTAATTTTAGCGTATTATATTCAATAACTTTGGTCAAGAATTTTAAACGCTACCGCCACTCCACTTATACTCGAAGTTATTAAGATTTTGATTTTTAGCGGTTAGCCTACATTGGCCAGTAGGTAACTTTTCCTATGCATGTATGAAGTGCACTATAGAAAATATATGGTATCATTATATACATTTGTAACTCATACGAAAAATATTGGCGTTTCTATTAGTACAAGAAAATATTTTTATTACAAAAAATGACTTTTCCAATTGAGTGACGGAAAAATATATCTTTTAAATTAAATATGTCATAAAAATTGAAATTTGCGTAATGTAAACACTCACAATGGCTAACCACTATGAAGTTCCAAATTGGTAAAATAACTTTGCTTCATTTAAGTATTTTTTAACATTTATTTCAATTTTAATGAATTAAATCACTTTTACAGGGCTGGAAAACCTGCTGCTGGTTTGCATTTAGATGTTCTAAAGGGTGATAAACTAATTCAGGTGCTTTATACAAAAAGAAATTCAGTATATTATAGTGCAGTCAATAATTGAATTCTAACTGTTAGATTTTTATTATTTTTTAGAAACTAATGGTAGATGAAAAAAAATGTTATTTGTTTGGAAGAAATCAGCAATTAAATGATTTTTCAATTGATCATGCTTCGTGCTCAAGAGTTCATGCAGCCTTAGTATACCATAAGCACTTGAAAAGAACTTTTTTAGTTGACTTAGGAAGTAGTAAGTATTTCATTTTTTTCTTCCATCATGCTAATATTATTTAGCATTAATGCAATGATTATTTATAGCTCATGGAACATATATTGGTAGTATTCGGTTAGAGGCTCACAAACCAACACAATTACCTATAAATAGTACGTTTCATTTTGGTGCTTCTACCCGATATTACACTATCAGAGAACGACCACAAACTGGAGTGAGAGCAATAATTGATGAAGTCGATAAAGGAATTGATGAACAGGAAGGTGGAGGAGTGCATGGATTACCTGATACAGAATTAGAATTAGACGTAAGTCGATTATTTTCTACGATAAAACTAAAATTACAAATCTACATTAGGATATTTTCAGAATCTCACAGAATTTAATACAGCTCACAATCGAAGAATTTCCATGTTAGGCATATCAGATGAAGACATTCATAAAATTACTAGAAAGCGCAAAAAAAAAAATATTACTTTCAATGACGATGAAGAGGTCATAAATCCTGAGGATATTGATCCAACTATTGGAAGATTTCGAAATCTAATACAGTCAACAGTTGTTTCTAGCAAGGTTGGTACTTTCTAAAATAAAATTCAAATAAATTAAGAATATCATGCAAGCAGAATCAAAAAAAAATTTCAAATTACATTTTATAGCTTTATTTTGCATAGTTTTTTTAATATTTCCTACATATGGTTCTATTAACTATATTCTTTATAGGCTCATAATGTAATTTTTTTTTAAATATATAAAAGAAGTCGTAGAAGACAAGTTTAAAATTATTGATTTTGTCAACTATTGTATCAGTTCAACAACTTTTGCTAAATGTTTTTTACTAAATATATTTAACTTATTGACACTTAAAATTGAGTTATAAGCTTTAAGGTTTTACAAAGATAAAATCAAACAATTACTTTTATCTTTGTATTTATTATGATGCAATTCCTTATTTTTTTATTATAAAACTCAAATTCATACATGATCAAAAGAGAGACCCAAATGGCCAACTAAGATAACAATTACTATGCCATATATATATTTATATAATTCTCAACTATGTTTCATATAAGCTGAAAAAAAATTCAATGAAATAAATTAAATATTTAAAAAAGAGAAAATATGTAACCTATTCTATTGTTTATTTTCAGAAATCTAGAATAGATACAAGTATGTTGGCATTGCATGGAAAAAGAAATCAATCTCTAAAAAGAAATCATATAGTTTCACATGAATCAACACTTTACGAAGATATACCACAGATTCAAGGTTCTGCTCTTACAACGCAAAATAATCAATTCCAATTAATTGGCATACCATCATCATCAAGATTAGGTATTGGAACACCTAATCCAGCTCCAGATGTTGATATTCCATCATTTCAGGAGCCAAATGAGCCATCTCTATTTATGGATAATAGTGAGACCTTGGAACATCCTTCATCAGAACCTAAAAAGAAAAAATATGCAAAAGAAGCATGGCCTGGAAAGAAATTTATGCCGACTTTTTTAATTTAGCCAAATCAAAAGTAATTTTCAAACAATTTTATTTTATTTTATTTTAAATAAAAATCTATGTATACATAATTTACTAAATGATATTTTTAAAATTGAATCTAAATCTTTAAGCTTTCATGTATCAATAATACATGATTTTCAATTAATTGATACACTTGATATTATCACTTAATTTATATCATGATTGATAAAAGTATAAAGTTTACCCAAAATAAAATCAAAAAGTAAATAAATTCATAAATTTAGCTTATAACACTAATTGACTTAATGACTCAAACATAAATGATAGAAATAAATTTTAGATATAAGTTGTTGCAAATTGGGATCATTCTGCTCAATTTTTTGGGGGATTTTTATGTATAAGTATAGCCATCAGTAATAATATTTTCCAGTATCATCAACAATTGCAAATTAGGGCATCGATGGAAATCTCCTTAATAATCGTTAAACGTGATGTGGCAAGAGAATCCAGTAGCGAATCCCACTGTAGCTTGCGCAGCGTAGGTACCGTGGTTGATGTAGTACCCCAAATGTTTCAGAAAGGGTGCTGAGGTGTCAAAAAGGGGTATAAAAAAAGGAAAACAGGACGAAAAAGACAGAGGGAGTTGAAATATCTGAAATATTGACTGACAGACTGAATCGTTCTATTTTTCACGTGCAGTTTTTTCATCTTAGAATTTGCTACTTACCAAAACATATAACTTCAAGTAATCCTATAGTTATGATTTCTGAAGCCATTCGACGGTTCCGATTTTGCTATATTTATTTTTAATGGAATCAATACCTTGGCACAAAGTTCAAATTTTCAACGAGATTTCTGAAATTTGTACTAAATATTTCCTTATATTCAATAAATGCGCCAAAGGCTGAGTTCGAATAGCGAGCCAGAGACTGAGTTCATTTAATGCGCCAACGACTATGTCCATTCAACGCGACATAACGGCTGTGTCCAATTAAGGGCTAACGGGGCTTAATTATTTTTCATTTTTCAATTACAGTACTAAGTTGTAAAAGTGAAAAAAAATTTTTTTTTCAAGAACACACATGATAACCCTTTTCAATACCCTATTTGAAAGTATTTTGTCCAGTTAAATACTTAGAAACAGTTAAGTACAATAATAGTGAGTGTTTTGACCCTCAACACAAGTTTTAAACAAGTCTAAGCTACCTGACCTAGAAATCTATAAGAGCCAACATTAATCTGTCGTAGCCTATGTGGTTTCATTTTGTTCGATAGCCCATTGGCCATGGTCGCAACCAAAAGTTAGACATAAGATGAACTGTAGCTACTTGTACATATAGCAAAGTGAAATTAATTTATGGAAAATGATGCAAAATGAATACTAAATTCTAGAAAATTGTACACACGAGTAGCCACAGTTCATCTTATGTCTAGCTTTTGGTTGCGACCATGGCCAATCGGCTATCGAACAAAATGAAACCACATAGGCTACGACAGATTAATGTTGGCTCTTGGATTTCTAGGTCAGGTAGCTTAGACTTGTTTAAAACTTGTGTTGAGGGTCAAAACACTCACTATTATTGTACTTAACTGTTTCTAAATATCTGGACAAAATACTTTCAAATAGGGTATTGAAAAGGGTTATCATGTGTGTTCTTAAAAAAAAATTTTTTTTTCACTTTTACAACCTAGTACTGTAATTGAAAAATGAAAAATAATTAAGCCCCCCGTTAGCCCTTAATGCGACAAAGGCAGTGTCCAATTAACGCGACAGCGGCTATGTTCGAATTCTGACTCGGCTAATAGAATAATGCCGGGATATCCTTCACGAGTCAGACCAAGAATCAAAAATGCACACAAGGCCGAGAGCGATGTTGCTAGGTAGAGACTGCTAAGCGAAGTGCTAATGCAACTCCGTAATTCGACAGAGCTGAGCGGTAGGTACAGGAGGGAGAGTAGCCGGTGGTTGATCAGGCCGCTGGCCGCAGGCAGCCGATAATTGGCTGCTTCGCTGCTCCGATTTAGGAGAGTAGACGGGGCTTACGTCGCAACAACGACCGTCGTACACACGACTGAACTTGTTCGTCGAACTTCCGAGTCGTCTCAACTAAGGCCGCTTGTCCTTACTAGACAGCATATCGTTGAAAAAACCCGACAGCTTGGCACACAATGAGACACGATGCTGCATGGCTCGCTCATGTCGTAGCCACGAGTCGTCGGTAAAGGTTCCACCACTTACTCTACCACTTTCCTTGGCGATTAGATAGCGTTAGTCGTAATGGTTCGGACCTACTCGTGCGCCTACACACAACTTAATTTTAGCACGACGTAAGGCCTATCACGGGTTCGCTCGTAGAATAAAACAAAGCAAAATTTAAATAGCGCCAATGGGCGACTTACAACTCACTCTTGGACACTTTGCGAGGTCCGTTCGCACGACGTGAGTATGGGCCCAGGCTTGTCGAGAGGCTCCAGGATGCGTCGCTCGCTGATGGCTCTCGTGTTGAACATAATTACTCTTGTGCACAGGTCGCAGTGCCGGGAGCCTACTATGCGCCACGGAAAAAGATGATTTGCACCCGGGGCCAATCGCAAACTGATCACGAAGGGCTCTCTTAAGTCCAGTCTTATAGATGACGGCCTCGCGTAGTCTTGGGTATTCGCAGACGTCGTCGAAGCAGCATATGCCTCGCCATGCGCCTATTGGCAAAATAAACACCCAGAGCAACGCTTGCTCGTACTCCCTGAGGATGGGCGAATTTAGGCGGAACCGGTCCATTAAATACTCGAGGCGTTGCCTGTCCAGTATTGGCAGATGCTCCAACCGACCGGGAGCACGCTCTCTTTCCAAGAAACAGGTTGGGTTACCTCAGCAACACCATCCTGTTCGGATGATTCCGGCCGACTCTTCATTCCATGACCTGATCAGGTATGACGAACGGCGCTTGTTGTTGCTCGACGCATTGACATCAGCTTGCGCGCGCAGTAGATCAACCACGAATCCGTTGTTTACCTCGGAGTCGAGTGACGCAGGCCCCGCGTCGTCCTGGAGCTCGTTGGCAAGAGGAGGCGAGCGCTGACAATACGTAGTGGCCTGAGTATCCTCGTCGGGCGAGGCATTGCCGCCTCCACCTCCATATCCGAGCTTCCGCCAAGTCCGCTTTGTGCATCGGAGCCGACATCGGAACTTAGCTCCGCGTCGGAGACACTGCCAGGTGAACTTTCATCGTCCTTGATCAGATTGATCGATGCTGTGTTCAGATAAATGATGTCGCCATCGATCGAATTCTTGCGTTCGTGGGGCGGACTTCGGTCGACTACTATAATTCCGACATGATTTGGGGGCCATGGATGGAGGCCTGACACCATACCTCCATCAGAATGGCCACGTCGTCTTCGTCATTATCGGTGACGTTGATAAACTCGTAGTCAATCACCACTTCATGCACATAGCTTCGGCCATTTTTAATTTCACTAGATAAACTGCATTAAACTGCGATCGTATACGGAAAAGTGATTGGCTCATGAAAGATAAAGCTTTGAGAACTACCAAACATGATGCAGACTTACACCACAGGAGGTCGTGCTGCTTAACCTTTTCTGAAGCTGCTTTACGAAAAGCGAAGCAAATCTCCACTGTGCTACGCGGTATCTACTAAATTTTCTAGCCATTACAGCTTTCTACAAATGTCGCGCGATCGTGCACTCGAAAACCTTAAGCAGTCTTCGCAATTGACGAAGCTGCAAGCTCTTTCGTGGTACAATATTTTTCTGTTTAATGTTTTGAGAATCAATCACTTTTCCGTGTAGGACGAGTGTTCATTGCGAAGCTTCGCGTGCGGGTCGGTCTCGACTGCCGCGGGCCTCTAGTCTTCCTTCTACTGCTCGAAGTGCAACACTCGGTCGATTTGCGAGTCACGTGCGTCGTGCCGGCCGCCGCACGCATGAGAGAAGCACGTGAGCTGAATCAAACGTGCTAGACGAGGCGGCCGTGTGTCCTTTCCCCGCTCGCTCCAGTGAGACTCGTCCAAGAAAACAATTATTGAATGATAATCTCTCCTAAATTTCTTTCGTACGTGACAAGGTGCATAATGCTTTATTCATTCATGAAGCGGAATAACTACAATATTGTGGTATTGCAAAAGTCGAGTAAGGCAAATTCTATTGCGTCAAATTGGAATCGGTTATCGGATAAAAATTTACCTTCTTTTGATGACGACCTTTTAGAATGGGTCCATTTTAAAAGAGTGTATACGAATTCGTCTGTTTCGGGTTAGTACTCCAAGAAAAAAAGGTGCTTTCGGTGTAATTGCGAGTGATGGAAGGGTTTTAGGCTTGCACTGGGATCTGAAATTGGATTTATTTTTTTTAATTTTAATTAATTTTAATCCCTGGGCGTTTCGGTCGATAATAGCAAAGTATCTTTGAGATACTCAGTTTGTTCATGTCTGTTTTCGATCCACTTGGTTTAATTTCGCCGATAAAATTCATTCGTATTATTTGATGCAAGACATTTGCGCTCGCAACATTTAAATGGGACGAGCCTTTTAGTGCGCAATATTTTAAAGAATGGTTATGGTGGTTACTTTCCTATTTACCTTCTTTGTCTCTTAGCAAAAATGGTCACTTTTGGAGAGTCCATGAAAAAATTGGAGACACAGTTTTATTTTTAGATGATGCATTTTTGGAAAAAGTCATGTGCGGGCTAATGGTCGGAACGGTTGTGATGAATGTGGTAAAAATCATCATTCGCTGTTGCATGATGATTATGGAAATTCATCTTTGAAAAAAGATTCATTGACAAGCTCTGCTGAGTCCAAGCCGGTAGCGGCTCTTACTACAAAGAGGATTTTAATGACTAGCACGAGTGTGTTTTTGCGTATGCGGGTGATTATAAGATAAACGCTTTGCTGGATGACGGTTCAACGGCTACACTAATTGATGCGAAATGTCGAAAAGTTGCTGTGAAGTAAAGAGCGCATTAGTAAATCTATAATTATAGGAATAGTTGGCGACAGTGCTTTGCTCTCGCTTTCGTATCGAGTCTCTTGTTCGTGAATGTCAATATCCAGAGTTTTAAGTTAAAGAACACT